CATGCCAGGACTACCGATACATCAACGAATGGACGATCAAGAACGCGTACCCACTCCCTTTGATACCACCCTTGCTTGCGAAACTCAACAAGGCACAATGGTTCACAAAGGTTGACGTACGCTCAGGATACAACAATATCCTCATTCATCCCGACGATAGGTGGAAAGCCGCGTTCTCCACCTCATACGGGCTCTTTGAGCCCAAGGTAATGTTTTTTGGATTGTGCAATTCACCCGCCACCTTCCAAGCTTACATGAACCAGACGTTTTCAGAAGAACTGAACGAAGGATGGTTAATTGTCTATATGGACGACATCCTGATCTTTTCAGATAACCTGGACGAACACCGGCAGAGGACCCGCCGAGTGTTGGAGAAACTCCGCAAAGAGTCTCTCTTCCTCAAACCCGAGAAATGTACTTTCGACTCTCAAGAAGTCGAGTACCTCGGTATGATCATTCGACCCGGACAGGTCGCTATGGACACTGCCAAGCTGAAAGGCATCAGCGAATGGCAACAACCCTCTTCGGTCAAGGACGTGCGGTCCTTCCTCGGATTCTGCAACTTCTACCGTCATTTCATTCCCCACTACTCCGACATCGCACGCCCTCTCCTAGACCTAACCAAGAAGGAGATCCCCTTCTCTTGGTCCGACTCCACCGAAGCTTCATTCCAGCATCTGAAGAAGCTTTTCACCACCGAACCGGTTCTGCGGAACCCTGACTCCTCGCGACAATTTGCACTTGCAACTGACGCCTCGCTCTTCACGACTGGAGCAGTCCTACTCCAGACAGATAGCAATGGGGATTACCACCCCTGCGGCTATCTCTCCCAGTCTCTCAACACAGCCGAACGGAACTACGAGATCTACGACCGGGAACTCCTTGCCATCATCCGAGCCCTTCAGGCTTGGAGGCACTTCCTTGAAGGAAATCCTCACCCGGTCATTGTCTTCACGGATCACAAGAACCTGATTTATTTCCGCTCCGCACAACGACTCACCCAACGACAGGCCAGGTGGCACCTCACGCTCACCAACTTTGATCTGGAACTTCACCACGTTCCCGGAACAAAGCTCGCTGCACCGGATGCCTTATCCCGACGTCCGGACCACGCTATAGCTGGTCAGGATAACGAGGATCGTATCCTCCTCCCCGACACCCTGTTCACCCGTCTAATTGACGCTGAACTCGCAGACGAGTTCCAACGACTCTCTGACGACCCCTCCGACCAGACTGTGAAAACAGCCTTGGACGCTCTCTCCGGGGTGTGCGCACCCCCCATGAAGTCTGCACTTTCCGATTGGAGGTTCACCGATGGTGTTCTCTTCTATAAGGATCGTGCCTACGTTCCCCCTGACCTCCGGCATCGCGTGTTGTCTCTACATCACGATCACCCAACCGCCGGGCACCCCGGGCGTTCCGGTACCGAATGGAACGTCAAGAAATCCTACTGGTGGCCCGGAATGGGCTCCTTCATTAGGAAATATGTCGATGGCTGCGCCATGTGCCAGCAGATGAAGGTTAACACCCACCCCACGACACCTCCCCTCACCCCAATACCCTCCTCGGCCCTCCGGCCCTTCGCTCAGGTTTCGGTTGATTTAATCACCGACCTCCCCGAGAGCGCCGGCTACGATTCTGTCATGGTCGTGGTAGACCATGGGCTTATGAAGGGGGTAATTCTCTGCCCTTGCAGAAAAACCATCACAGCGGAAGGAGTAGCCGAACTTTTCTTCAAGAAAGTGTTCATGCGCTTCGGACTCTATGACAAGATCATCTCGGACCAAGGCCCCCAATTCGCCTCGAAGCTAGCAAAAGAGCTAGGACGACTCCTCGACTACCAAGTCGCACTCTCCACTGCCTACCACCCTCAGACAGATGGCCAGACCGAACGGCTCAACCAAGAGCTCGAAACCTACCTCCGGATCTACTGCCGGACGACCCCCTCTGAATGGGCAAAGCACTTGCCTATGGCCGAATTCGTTCATAACTCCTGACGACACTCTGCCAGAAATGCCTCCCCCTTCTATCTCATGATGGGCTATGAACCACGAGGCATCCCCCATCTATTCCCCGACTCTACCCTACCAACCGCCGAAGACCGAGTCAAATCACTCGCCAAAATCCACGAAGAAGCCCTTGCATGCCACAGCCTCGCGCAGCAACGCATGGCTGATCGTTCCTATGGCCAGTGTTACAAGCCATGGAACGTTGGTGATAAGGTATGGCTATCCGCCACGAACCTAATCACCGGATTCCCTTCTAGGAAACTCGCCCCGAAACGATATGGACCCTTCCCAATCCAGAAGGTCCTCTCCCCCATCACGTTCCAGCTAAAGCTGCCTGCCAGCTGGCGTATCCACCCCATGTTCCATGCCTCGGAACTTTCCTCCTATCAGGAGACAGACGTGCATGGACCGAATTTCACCGAACCTCCTCCTGATCTTATCGATGGAGAGGAACACTACGAAGTGGAAGCTATCCTCCAACACAAGGGTACCAGATCGCGTCGCCGGTACCTCGTGTCTTGGGTTGGCTATCCTGCCTCCGAACGAACGTGGCTCCCCGAAACAGAATTGAAGTCCGCAGCGGAGCTCCTGAAGGCGTATAAGAAGCGACTCAAGATCGCTTCAATCGCCATCTCATGTTGATCAACAAACGCCACTGCAACTTCTCCTACCGCCCTCACTACACGAGGGCTGACCCCACCGACGAACCCATCCACACCAACACCAAAACCTTCCATCGCCAATGAATCCGCAATCGCCACCGCCCCACGAAACCCAAACCCATCGACAAACAGAGACCCGTTACCCAATACCCCACCTACGCCACTACCCAAGGAAAGACGCTTCACTATGTCGGTCTCAGTGTCGTCTGTTTCCTCGCACTGATCCGCTACCTCTCATGCGTCTGCCTCCGACCGCGACCCGACGAGCCAGCCAACGCATGGCCATGATAGGCCCTCCCCCCCGGGATACACCATCTTCCGATGACCATCCCTTCGCTCAGTTGTCCAAGATAGGCAACGGGCCTACTGGGAAGCAGTCATCTGCGACCCCCAGTATGCAATTCGACTCGACAACTATCTCAACCGCACCAACGACGACATAACCATGAACCTCGTCCAGGCCTTCAGGGCCACCGACGCCCTCACCGGCGATATCGCCAGGATCGACCTGGCTAGGGAGACTTCCCTATCCACTGTCTCGACCAGATATAACCAAGGCAAGATCAAGCGAGCCTTGCTAAATCTGTTTGAGCTCAGGAACTTCCATGCTGCTGTCATGGCCATCGAGGAGGAGCGGGCATTTAATCCCCCTCCTGACCCGCTTGCAGTCGTCGAGCACGCTGTCTATGACAGAGCTCCGACCCCCTTCCTCCCCCAACTACCCCGCTCTGAATCACCAGAGCATATCCCCAACGTCACCCAGTTGACCAATCCCGAGATCGACCGTCTCTACAACGAATACGAACGCAAGCTCTACGCTCCACGTAACCCCTCCCCCATCCTTGATGTCGACACCATCTCTATCACCATCCCAGAGTTGGATGAGTGCCCTCCCGAACCACCTGTTCTCAACCCCGACGATTGGGTACCTACTGAAGTGGTCCCACACCTTTCTATTGGTTCTCCGGAACCTCTTCCCACTCCGCCACGCCGAAATCACCGTGCTCATGCACGATCCATCCTGTCCCTAGGACTACCCCTCTCCCATGCGCATCGCCCGCACACCCAGAACTTCACTAGGCACTATCCTCGCGAGGAAGCCCAGGAAGACGCCATCAACGACGCGCGTCGTGATGCCACAGAGACCACCCAGGTCTACCGCAGCAACGTTGTCTGCCGCCAGTGCCGTGTCTTTGGACACAAACAGAAACACTGCGCGCAATACTTCTGCCGCATTTGTGGGCAATTTGCCCCAAAACATCTCACTCCCTTCTGCCCTCGACTCGACGGCAGAAAGATCCTTCGCCGTGGAACCTCTTCCGACCGGTTCTACAGGGACATGCAGCAGCTCGAAGCTGCGTATGACCAGGACGCTGCTCGCCTTGAGCAAGAACGTGAAGAGAACGCAATCGAAGCCGCCTCCTGGCTCGAAGACCTCGACTTCGACCCCAAGTGGTATAACAACCAGGACGACTACGTTCCCCTGGACGATGATTAAAGAGTTCGTGGAACTCTACCTTGAAACGGGGGTAATGTTACAAGTAACATCGGCTACATGGCCCCCCTATCATTTTTCCCCTTCGTCCTCGCCCTCGTATGCCTCCGGCTCGTACTTCTCTACCGACTATCCGTTGACCAGATCCTCGGGACTGTCCCCGTCCCTCATCCCCCTCCTATCGCACCAACGTGCGCACGTGCCTTCGGGCTATGACTCGTTCTGACTCGTGCCACCAATGTGGCTTTCCTTATCTTGTCTTATCTTTCCTCTGACTCATGCGTGCTGCGCATTGTATCATTTACCGTTGGCTCGTTCCAACGTTTCTCGGTCTCATTCCGCATTCGACCTCACATCACTAATCAGGCTCTGCTACCAGCGTACCTATACCCTTTCTGTTTCCCCTTTGCCCTTACCTACAGTACGGTAGCCTTGCCCTTAACCCTTTCCACTTAGTATAAGTAGTCGGTCACTTTGTACTAGATTCCCTAACTTGAATCTACTCAATCTTCCCTCGAACATACTTCCCTCTGAAGCTGAGGGAGCTTCAGTCTCTAGTATCTTTTCTTAGGTGCTCATCGCGCCTAAGTCTACCTCAATCGACTACCTCATTGTTCGGACAAGACTGTCCTTACTTTGAGAACGTCAGTGACTTTGAAGACATCCGTCTTAGAAGTCACGTGACACGCGCGTCTCTGATATCTGCCGACTCGACGTCGCCAGTCTCAGTCGCTACACCGGACCCTTCCGGTTACATCACGAACGTTAGCGGATGACGCCCCTCTTAGGGCTCCGCATAACAGATTTATTTGAGTGCATAACAGTAGCTGTAACATGAATTTGACATTTGTTCTACAATTACAGGCTGTCTGTGCCCTGGCTGGGTTCTACGTTGGAGAGCAGTATAGTGTTCCATGGGCAACAACTGATGTCCCGGCTGAGCTACAGATGCAAATATTTCCCTTCGTCGAGGATGCCCTGGCCAATCTCCGCCAGGCACCTGATACCAACTATGGCACCATCAATTTCCTCGAGTTGCTGCAGCTGCTTCGTGGCTACTTCTGGCAGGTGAGAGCTCCAAAGCCACTAAAAGTGTCTCTGGGTCTGATATGATGTACTTCACATACTAGGTCATTGCTGCAATCCACGAGTCATTCCCAGACTCTGCCCCTCTGAAACGGCTGCAGGTCATTCAGTCTAGTGAGGCCAAGATGTTCCTTCAGCAATGGCCAAGGGCCAGGGAAGCTCTCGAGGCCACCGCACAATCTGACCTTGCTATCAGCAGTTCATTTGGAGAGGCTGCCACTCAAAGCGCCTTTGTGTCTCTCGCAAACTCTCAGCGCCAATCGGATACCACCATAAACACTATCCTCTCCCACTGCAACTGGCTTCTTTGACGGACAGAACCACTCTCCCCATCGAAGAACTATGATGGAGCCAGGTTCTCACCTGTGGCTGCATCCAGTGTTGGCTGCAGCACCATGCGCACTGCGGGTCCTGATGTTTCAAGGCCACCAATGGCACAAGGAGACGCCTGCCAGCATCCTCCTCCTCTGTCTCAGACTAATAAGCACAGAGCTTGCACTGCTGAAGAATCGACACCCACACTGCATCTGCAGCCCAATATGAACCCGGTAACCATTGTCCGAGACGGCCACTCCTTCCATGTGTTGCCACTCTCACCAGCAATGCCCCCCGACTTCCATTTAGGTCGCGATCTCATCATTCCATCAGCCGAGGCCTTCTGTGACCCCATCATTGTGTCTGTACCACAGTTCCCTCAGTTCACGGCTCGAAACTGCAGCTGGAGCTCCATCTTCGAGATGGTGAAGCAACCATCCCTCCTTTGGGCCTGCTGGCATCCTCATAACCTTGGTGAATACCACACCATCAAACAACTCTGGGCGGCTTGGCATGAGGGCATGATCGTTGACTAGTGTGGGTCAGATGCCACCCCTCCAGCTCATTGAGCAGGAGTGGGGAGGAACAAAGGACCGTTCGACTCGCAAAGGGCGCCGTCAGGCTTGGCGGCCACACAATGACAACAACGTGAGCAGTCTCTGGTTCCTTCGTTTTCTCTCACATCTGAGACTCTGTTCCAGGTGAGGCGACAGTGGTCCCAATTCATGTTCTTCATCGCACACATCAACTCCACGATGGACGCTGGCAATCACACATCAGAAGCCGTTCGAATTCTGGACGAGCAGCATGGCTCCATGTCAGTCCCACAGTTCCACTCAAAACTTCAGCCAAAGAAGAAACGGACGCAAGCGCCTGCTGCTAGCACCAACGCATCATCTGTGTGAGGATGAGCCCCGCTTTTCTTTTCCACCTTGAACTCAAGTTGATTAATGAACCCCACCCTGATGATCATTTTCTGCCTGCCAGCTACAATAGTGTGTCTAATGACGGTCTGCTACTAGTCCTAGTACAATGTGAGATTGTGTCTCCTTTCACCAGATTCGCGTCTTCAAAGGCCTCGAGGAGTTTGTGGAATGCATGTGTCCAGAGGCAAATGATGATGTTGGACTTGGGCCTGGAATTGACGCAGAGGGGGGAAGCCACAACTCTTGGGGCGAGGGAGATCTCCATCAGATTATGCATCATCTCAGCGAGTCCCTGCGCACCATCAAAATCAACATGGAAGGAATGCGTGTGCCCAGAGGCGAACGACGATATGGTACTTACCTGTGATTGATGATTGATGCAGGAGGTGGAAGCCACTGTCCACAGCTCTCGGGGCGGGGGGAGGATCTCCTCCATCTCCATCAGAGATCTCACAGCAGGTTCTGCCATGCCGTCAAAATCAGCATCAGCATCAGCAGCGCAGCGCAGGACCAGAAGACCCACTTACTGTTCGACCTGCCCGCCCCGTCGTCCGAGAAATCTCCAAGGAGAAGACTTCTCCTGCCCACCGAAAAACCGTGATCAAAACCTGTGATCCGCTCCACGAAAAGTGTGATTCTGCCTGGTTGAAACCGTGATCGAGGGCAAAGAACCGTGATTCGGCGCTTGCCTGGGACAAGTCTTGACGCGCTCGCTGCAGCAAAAGTGTGATCCCGCCTCTGTGATTTCGTCTGAGAACTGGAGCCGAGATTACTTAATATGTTGTATCTGATTGAAACCCTCGTCTGTCGGAACAAGAATATCACAATATTGCGCATCAAACTCGCCGAGCTGGACAGCAAGATACTTGCTTATCACGAGGATCCTCGCTATGTGGACTTGTGAGACCCCAAGGATACCCGAAAGGGTGGAGTGAAGACACCCTCTACTTCTCGAAGGCTCGATGCGATGCTACTTGTCGCAGAAGGGTCAGCAAAAGCCACCGAGTCCAATGAAAACCACAATGGTGCTGGAGTTGAGCAAATTTTTCGTTGCATTGCTAGCAAGGGGTGCAACACGACACGTAGTGTTGTTGGCAGAATGCTGCCATTCTGCCAGTGGCAATTGCCAAGGGGCAATTGCTGGCAGTAGGTCAAGGGTGGTTGGCAGAAGTCGGCAGAAATACGCTGAACTAGTATTTGTTCCTACTAAAAAACAATAAAAATATGACATGTGGCCTAGAAGCCCAAGGGCCATTCTGTCCAAAAAATTGTGTCCAACCACTTTGTTAGTAGTTACTGGGGAGAAAGTCAAAATTTGGTCAAAAACAACTCAAATCACTACTTTTTCACATGCAACTGCTGCTCGGCACAACAGCATCCATCTAATTGACTGAAAAATATGATCATTGGGCATGCTTGTGCAGTGTGGCTCACTACAAAAAATGCAATCAAGGCTCAATTCTATCAATTCTATCCCTGGATCTATTGCTTCTGCAACTTCCAAGTCGACTCAAAGGTCGTTTGCATGGATTCCTCCCCTTGCAGCAGACTCTGATCACCAGGATTGACCAACTGTCAGAAAATGATGGGGCAGAAGGTATCCACGGTGCCAACTGGCTTTGTTGAAGAGATCAATGTACTCAATCAAAGCTCAGAGAGTGCATCAGGGTATGATATTGATGCACTTTTGACTCATGAGTATAGCTTAGTGTAGTACTCAAAACCATTTTTGCCATAGTACAAACATAGTTGAAAAGAGCTAAAAACGCTCACAATACATTTTGCCGACTTTTGCCATTCTGCCGTTCTGCCATCTGCCAAGAGGCCAATTCCTTTCTGCCCACGACACTAACGACACGAGCAATGCCACGAAATAAAGAACGGATCCTATATCACTTGTCAAAATGTGATTGGCTTGATTCTGACCTGTGAAAAAGAGCGTGTACTAACCAGTAGCGAGCTTTGGCTGTGCATATCCCATTATTAGCAGATCAGTGACGAGAGCCAAAAGGAGCCAGACTACTGGCACCGCTGACGACAACTTATCAGCCGACTTGCAAATATACGCTTAGCACTTTACATACATTTGACACAGTGTTGAAGTTTCACCAGACTGTATAAAGGACACTAATCTGGTGCTACGCAGGAATAATATTGAAGGCTATATGCTCTGCAGCTGTGTCCATTAAGACAGCGGACGCCAGGTTACAGAATAAATAGCGGCCAAATTTGAATTTCCGAAACAGTGGAGCACTGGGAAGAGATTCAGAGACAGCTCAACTTGAAATCAGTAGTTGATGCAGCAAAACTCACATAATTCTGCCAAATTGAAATTCGTACCCATATGGATATGCAGGATATAAAGGCTGGTTGTCGTCCTACAGTGAAACCGTTCTCCCATCCCCAGAGATATCATATCACCCCGCACAGAAAATGCGTCTCTCCCTCCTCGCCGTTGTTGTTGCTTTGACAGCATCCATGTTTGTCAGTGCATGTAAAACCGAGAATCAAATTTGCACGTCACGTCTAGATTGCTGCGATTCTATGTTGTGTGTGCATACTCAGCCTGACGTGAGTATGAGAAAGTCGCTGTGCAGCCAGGATTCAACCACATGACTCACCTGCTCGCCTTAGGTAAAAACTCACATTGGAATCTGCAGACCATAACTGGCGGAGGGAAAATTGAGCCGACAGCCCGAGCGGCATGTCGCGTCAGTGAGTCATGTTTTTGCTTTCGCTTTAGTATCATGCTAAAGCTTGTTGGTGCAATACCTAGTTCGCAGTGACGCACTCAATCATTACAGTTGCTTTTGGTCAAATTTTCATACCGCTCGAGCAATGTAAATATGTGAACTTATCTAAAAATGATTGACCATGCCTAGTCTTGCTCGTCGTCCACTGAGCCTGAGTTCAAGAGGCCACCGAAACTAGCGATCCGAGACAATGCTATCGATAATTAATATTGGGAAGCCGTAAGAAGATGGAACGCTCACTTTTGCAAACTGTTGTATGCTAAACTGTCTCACACACCAAAACAAAACACAACGATACCGCGATACCGTATAAATAATCGTCCCATTGTAAGCATGTCTATATATTATTAAGTACACAATGAGCGAAATACCCAGCCAAAAAGCCTGAAACGTTTCGTCAATGCAGGCATGGCGCTGGAGTGCTATCATGACCGAGCCTAAATAAATAAAAAGTATTAGCTCACGACTCCCCCACAGGAATGGGCATCGAGAGTTCTTCCGCAGAGCTAGCAAGCGCGTCGTAGAGATAGATGACGCCGAATATGAGGAAAAGGGCTGCACCCCCTAGGGTCACTGCAATGCCGGATTAGTTGCGATGACGACAGACAGGAAAATCGAAACAAATAAAACAAATCGGCAGGTAATAACATGCAGGAAGCACAGCAGAATGACATGCGTGCTGTGAAGTAATCATAGACGTCGAGCATCGAATAGATGCATGAGGGTATGATGATATTCCGAAGCAAAGGACAATCATTGAGGGGAAATAGACGACTCACCATGTTTGACGGAGATTTTACTCGATACATAGCGCCCTCCTATGACCGCCAGCGCTGTGCAACACGTATGGCCAAGGACCGTCCCTACCGTCACGAGATACACATTCTAAAAATACGCCTCGTCAACACAGGTCTTCGAACCAACAAAGAAAAAGAGAGCTCACATCAGCAGCACCTAGAGCAATCGTAGCAATCTGACTCCTATCCCCCCACTCTCCAAGGAAAGTAAGCACAAAGGACTGCACGAAAACAGGCCCGAGGATAAGACTGCAAAAATTCCTCACGCCTTCCGCGACACTCGAACTCAATTTTTTCTGTTTTCTCGCACCTGAGGATGAAGAGACTGCTTCCCCCTCCTCGAGCCGTTCAAGCGGAATACTACCTCCCGCCTCGATGTCGTCCTCCTCTATCTCCTCTTCCACCTCTCTCATCTCTTCCTCGACCTTTTCCCTTCCCTTCCCCCCCATCTCCCTTGCTTCCATCATCATCTTACTCCCAAAGACCAAAAACAGTACCCCAGCCATAACCTGAGTCCATTTCTTGGGTAAAAGCGCAGGCAGTATATGACCCAGTGAAGCTGACAGGATAGACATCAGTGCAAGGGAACCAAGAGCGCCTAGGAAGACGACGAGGCGAGGATGGCGCATGGAGAGAATGGCGGCGATGAAGAAGGTTTTGTCCCCAATTTCGGAGAGGATGATCGTCATGAAGGAACGGATGAGGGCTTCCACTGAGAAATCGGTGGGTACGGTGGGTGATTGTGTTGACATCTGGAACGGGATTAAGATTAGGTACTGAATAGAGAGGATGAGGCTTATTTACCGTGTACCAGATAGTAGGTCAGGTCTTGGAACCTTTTGTTTGAGGAGCGTGCACTGCACGACTATTGTCAACGTGTTATATAAAGGCGAGCGCCAATGGCGGTGGGCAAAGCCCGCTTTGGGGAACCAGCACCTTCCCACACTAAAAGTTCGCACTGGCCAAGTGGCAATTGTTCCTGCACCACAGCGTACACGCATTCAACGAAAAAAGAACCTACGAACATGGTGCGGTCACATCGTGCACGTTGAGGGCTGACCAGGCTCCCAAGACGTCGACAGCCATCTGCTGCGTACATGGAACCGCATGCATATACAGTATTCAACATGCTCTCTTCTGCAATAACGGAGGAGCAGTCCAGAATATGTATGTCTCATTTCCATATTTCAGAGTGGATGGCGAATCGATTGATCAGGAACGAACCAACACATTGATTCAATTCCTCCATTTTCATAGCAAATATGAAATCATTGTACATGGCTGCGCCGTCCCCGAGGCAGGCTATGGCTCACTAGTTACTAGCTTGTCATGTAATCCTTGCCAATATTCCGATATGAGTCGTTCTGAACGCATCTACGCATCCTCAGTTTTGGCCTGGTACTCCCGGCTTTGATAGCAAAATCATATTTAGTATTTTCCTCACTCCAAGTAAGTCCGATATATATTCTCAGAAAGTCTCCATCTCACGTTGCAACTACACCTAAGTACGGTCAGACGCGTTGACTCTGCCTACTTGTATCGATCATCATTTTCTGTGGAACTCATTGCTAGTCTTAAAACAAGATGGTCTTGTGACTGTTGATCGGCGGCCTTGTCCTTGTTCCAGCCTTTCATGTTTGTCTCTGGATCCAAGATGGTGTACCATGTGGTTAAACTATTTCGAATTACAAGCCCAGGTTCTGTTCATACCAAGATAAACAAGTGCGCAAACATTTCATTCACTTTGCAACATTGCCTCTATCCATTTCTCAATCAGCAGCGAACTGCATATTATCCCATCAACAAGAGCATCAACGGTAAAGCGGAAACATAACCCACCAGTGTGTTGCTACGTGCTAATTTAACGCTCTCCTCTTGAGACTAATCGCCCTTATGATAGCACATCCAAGCACCATCTAGCTAATATCACGAGGCCCAAAGGGCGAGTCATTCAGCGAGAATTTGATGCAAAGCAAACCATTCCTACTCACAACATAGACGCATTTATCTAATTGATCGCAACAGTCACGGCTATGTACGCAAGGCGCTTCCCGTGGCGCACACGCATTGACAGACATTATAGATGTTGCCAGCGCAACAATAGCGACGAGGAAGGAGAAATGCATTGTTTATGCAAGGTCGTATAAACTGCTGAGGTGCTTGAAAAATATCTTTGGAGTAAAGTGGACGGTAGGAAGATGACCTGCTCTTATACTTGCGAAAAATAATGCCTGTTTTAGCCGGAATTCTGTTTGGCGGAATGGTTTAAGCAGAACCTATCTTATGATAAACGGAGCTAGTGGACCCTGCCCACTGCCAGCAGAACTTTGTATGTCATAATTTGATTTGAAAGTAGGCCCGTGGTGATGTGATCCCTCGTGTTGACGAGATAGATCACATTCGCTCATTTGGCACGGTAGATCATTAATGAGTTCAAACATCCACATTGCTCGAGCAGTATAAAGGATTGTCCAAAAACAACTGTACTGATTGGCCTCGAACTAGATATAATTAATTACTTCATTGTGATACCAAGCGAAAGCAGAAAAATGACTCATTGTCGCGATGTGTTGCTCGGGCTAGGTCAGGAACCCGGACACCTAAGGCGCGCAGGTGATTTATGTGATTTAATCCTGGTGACACAACGACCTGTTCATATTCACGTCAGGTGCATATATATAGCCCGAAGAGATATCTTGCAAACTACTTCACGCTACATGCACTGGCATACATAGATACTGTCAAAGCATCGATGGCGAGGAAGGAGAAACGTACTTCCTGTGCGAGGTAATATGGAATCTCCTGAGGGGGGTCTCGAATGATATATCCGAGGATCGGGGGAACACTATAGGACGACGACCAGCTTTTACACCCTTATGGGCGCGACTCTGATCGATTTGGCAGTATCGTCAGATGGCAAAATTTGGGCTGCTGGGATTCATATCGTGTGTGTGAGGAGTATAGTCCATGCTGTGTGGTGAGATGGCTCGGCAGCACGCTCCGGGCTCCATGGCTCGGCAGCTCCACGAAGCGACCGCTCTACCTACTCTACCGTATTCGGATTACAAACCCAAGTTCTGTCTACACCAAAAGACAACAATACCAGCCTATTCACGAGCGGGCTAGTCTGGCGATACCACGGAGCCGTGATGTGCCGTGTAGATCCTTGCGCTTGCGTTCCTGATGCGGGCAAGTGACATTGGTAGCGTGTCTGATTTCATTCTTAGGATTGCCAGAACAAAACCTCGGTTGACGGTCGCAAGAAAGATCTCATGGCGTTTGTTGGCCATTTGTGGCGAAAAACTAGAGGCAGTTCCACGAGTAGTTGGCGTATCCAGGATGAATCGGCCTGATGAACTAATTGCAATGTATTCCACTAGCTTCGGCATCTGTCATAGTCGCTCAACCGCTGAAAACCAGTCTCTCCAGGGGACACTTCGACCGTGCCAAAAATCCTCAAGCAATTCATGGGGCCTCAATATTCGGTAGCTTCTGAAATTGAAGTGAGCTTCCAGCATGCACAAATTGGGCAGCGAGATAACATCGAATAGGTCGGATAATGGGTGCGCGGTATAAGTGTTATGTACGACGCGTAAGTATTGGATTTTGGTGTATGAGGTTTCTGTTAGCTTGGGTGTCAAGCAGATCGTTAACGAGAAGAAATTTGGATATAGTCAGAGCAAGAGCAGGATTGCTTTAGGAAGACGTATGACGATCTCGACAATTATCAGGTCAGCGCACAGGACCGAACGACGAGAAGTGTACGGTGTCGAAACACGGCCTGATGCGAATGACCTTGAGATTACGCTCAATGGATGGCAGTTGCAAGATAGACTGTGCGATAATCTAACCCTTGTATGGCCAACTTTTGAGATGCTGAGAGGTTGTTGTCTAACAAAAGTTCGGGATGGTCCACTTTTCTTTCGAACGTGATGAAGAGACGATATTCGATTGATGTGAAGCTCAAGAAAGTTTCGTATTTTGGTCGCCTCATTTGCGGGGCAGTCAAGATCTAACGGGGGGATATCTTTGTGACCGCTTGAGCCATAAGTCATAGCTAACACTGTCTCTATCTATGTCTCAATCACAAGCGAACTGCTTATTCAATCGATAACAGCACTACGGGAAAGCGGAAAAACGACCCACCAGTATATTAATTGACCGGCTTCCTCACTGAGGATCGTCGTCAGGAGGAAAGCAGGCTGAATATGGGGGAAACGACTACCAGGCCCCGAAGGGTAAGACATCAAGTGAAAGTTTGATGCGAAGCAAACTACTACTACTTACAACGTGCCGACAGGTTATTTTATCGCAGCAGTCACTGTCCATAACGCAATACTTGGTGATGTCGTGACACCCCCCATACGCACTGACGGACGTTATAGATGTTGCCAGCGCAACAACTTGAATAACGGTGAGGAAGGAGAGACGCATTATCTGTGCGAGGTGGTATAAACTAGTGAGGTGCTTGAAAAATCTCTTTGGGATGAAGTGGATGGTAGGAAGATGACTCGCTCTTATACCCCTGAAAAGTGACACTTGGCGTCTTAGCCAGCATTCTGTTTGGCATCATTGTTTAGGTAAAGCCTATCACTTCCGGTCATCGAGTGAGAAGCTGAGCTAGTGGCTCACTGCCAGCAGAACCTATCCCCTCTGGTCGTCAAGTGAGGAGCTGAGCTAGTAGCCCACTGCTGGCAGGAATTCTATGGTATCGCATATTACAACTCTATTGGAAGTAAGGCCCGCGATAACATGTTGATAGACAGATTTCACTCAACGGCATGATGATCCACCGAGTCAACGGTGTAGCAAAGTGTACCCAGTGGTTTGACGTGTCGGTGATACGGTATCTTTGCCTTAAGATTTGACGCTCCATGGGTAGGTTTGGCACGGTATTGCGGAGACATAGACTCTGAGTCACGGGGTTTGGGTGGATGCGACAATATCCACTACCTGGCACCGGAGTCGGACCGCACAGAAGTTTGCGATGTGCTACTGTAAAGTTGGTTCACCCGCAGTACAGGCGCTTCATCGGGAATAAAATTCTAGCGTTTTGTGTTGCATGATACGGAAAGGGTTGTCTTGTGGTAATGCTTGACGCCTCCCTTCAAACAGGTGTCATCATCTAGTCTTCGCACAAAACGACCCAAGTAAGTTACAGCACACGATACGATACGACTTTCACAATGACATGATATGATACTTATATATTTTTTCATTGTCTTCCACGAGGCTCCAGGCCTAATGTAGCAAGAACACGCGTAGTCCACCTCAATCGGCGCAGGGCGGGGTCCAGCACGGCACAATAAGCAGTCACGGTCAACAAAACCACACACCAAGTTACTCCTCCTCCATAATCAACCTCAGTGCTTCTTCGCTCCTAGGACGTATGTCGCACACGAACGGGCTTGGAGTTCTGTATGATGGAGAGCATGGTTAGCGCTCATTCGGTAGAAGGAGGGAGGGGTAAAAAGAAGAGAAAGAGGAATTGAAAGATAGTAGGGCGAAAACGCATCGAATATGAAATATATATGAAAGCGCAAGAACACCACCCTCAGGTCCCGTCAACTCAAACCACAGGCAGTCCTACGTAATGAACCGAAACTCCCCCACCTGAAAAACCTACTCCGCACCCGCGCCAAAAAAACAGACCCAAGAAAAAATGAAAACACACCTAAAAACGGCATTCTCGAACTTGACAACAGGCTCGATGTCCACGCCTTTCTCATCTCTCGCTTTGCGTATATCAAGCGTGGCGAGCATGCTGGTTATTAAGAGCCATATCGAAGATTCGACGAGGTGTGTTCCTGGGCAGCGGCTGCGGGTGGGTGGATTTTGTTTAGTTTTGGTTTGGGAATGTTGAACGAGAAGATGACAAAATGACAAAATGATGACATGCCAAACACGGAAGTGTCACCACGTCACAAAAATTCACTCACCGCCTCCCAAATCCAAACACAAACGCTCTTGGATCTCTTTCCTTCCCAGCCTCCTCTTCCTCTCCGCCCCCACCCCCACCTACATCTACATCTATTCCCTTCCCCATCCCACCCACGATCGCATCCGCCAGCCACCTCTCAGGCTCAAATACCTCTGGATCTTGATACAACTCAGGATCACGCATGATAGCCCATATATTCCCGAATACAAGGGATCCTTGTGGGATGTGCATGCTTTCGTAGGTATCGGGTTGTGTGAGTCTGTGTGGGAGGCCTGGCGTGCGTGAGGCGGCGTTGTGGGTAGGCGATGTAATGGATGGCAATAAGATGCTAATCAGCCCTGAAAATATTCAACAGAAAGTTGAGCACTCACTAAGCGGAACAGGCACACCCCATCTAAGTGTTTCCGTGAAAACTGCATCGCAGTACGGAAGCTTTGCGCGATCTTCGAATGTGGGTAACCTGTTTGCTACTGATTGGCTCGATCCCAACTCATCTTCCCTTGATCGAAGGACATCATCGAGCTCTTCTTGGGCGCGTTGGAGTACATGGGGGTGCTGAACCATAGCGAGGATGAAATGGGAGAGAGTTGTGATGGTTGTGTCGATGCTGGCTTTTCGGCGTGGTATCCCAGGTGAATGTGTTTTCCGTGTGAATGGCGTCGTATTCAATGATGAGATTGTAGAGTGGCAAAGGTCAGTGTGACGTGAACGTGAATGTGCGACGTGGGACGGGACAGACGTACCTGAATACATGGAATTGGCTGTCCATCGGATATCATGATCGTGGTCGTCTGTAATGATGTCTCTGGCTACTTCTGCATCGTCGGATGAGGAAGAGTCGCGGTCGCTTGAGGACCCTTCGTTGTCGGTCGTGGTGGTGGAGTCGAAGGATGCGTCAAAAGGGGAAGAGGAGAGTTTGGGAAGTTCGAGGAGGGTAGATACGAAAGATGGACGGGCAGTTCCTTTCTTCTATGGGGGTGTTCATTTTTGAAAACAGGAAGGGAGGAAGAACGTACGATTTCGCTTTTCACAAATTCGTATGGGCGGTCTACGAATTCTTCCATTTTTGCTTTCCAGATTTGGGCGTTGCGCTTGAAGGATGTACCGGGGAACCACAAGGGAAGGTGTTTGACTAAAACGGAAAAGGTAAGTTTAGACAGCAGAAGAGAAATGGAGACTGACGGGCTGGAAATATATCAACGGGCCATATCCCACCTCCGCTTGCGATACGGTTCGCGAGAATGTCTACACATTCTTCTGCGAGGTTTAGAAAGGGGTCATCGTTTGATTTTACTTGGTGTCCATATACGACGAGGAGGGTGAGTCCGCCTGCGTATCTGATATATGTGAGACCATGTCGTTGACAGGAAAAGAGACGAACCTTCTGATATGTTCTTGAAACTGAAGGGGACTTGTAACCAATCTAGACAAAAACGGTCTGCTCTCCATCTGCATCAAGCCATGATACCTGGGAATAACAGCAGGTCCAAACGCTTTCTGCATAAGCTTCCTCTGTCTCCTCGCACGGTCGCCATAGGGAGTGAACGCTGCCATATTCTCGCAGCCACAAAGCTCACCAACCATGATGAGGTGCGGTTTATCGCTATAGATAGACCCGCGTCTATCCAAGAGGTCGAAGACTACTTTTGGGGTGTTGAGGAATATGAGGGATTGGTTGAATATGCGGATGTGGGTTATGGGTCCGTATATGCGTGCCCATTTGAATGCGGTGAGCCAGAGTTCTTTTGGAGTGATATCGAGGATATTACCGATGATGGGAAGGGAATTCGGACCTGGGGGGAAGGGGGGACGAGTGAAACGGGAATAGGCCAGGAATCCGATGGCTACGAGGAGTAGAGTACCTATCAACGCCATTGACTGACGTTTGTTCGATCCAAGGCGACTTATATCGTACATTATCACGTGGGGAGGCTTCGTACTTGGTTTTGAGGTGCGTCGTTTTGGAAGGGTGTTTGTCTTAAATATTCCTGAGTCACGGATAGGCGACGTTGCAACGTCGGCCTCCGATCCAATTTTGGTCTTTCCACCGTCATATGCATCTCCTCCTGATCCTCCTGGATGTTTGTCTGCGTTTGGTTCGTTCATTGCTTCTCACTATATAAACATGCAAATAACCCGACGACGTATCCAGGCTTTACCTTTAAATCTATCCACCCCCTCATCCAAGTCACCTTGTATCCGACAGACCTTCGGTACAAAGGCAATCCACTTGGACCGAGTGCTACTGGAAGGCACTTGTACTGCAGTCATTTGCATCACACGCACCACGGCCTTGTCTGTGAGTTCCAATGATGTGTATAGCACCGCTCCATCCATGCTCTTCATTGCCTGCGCCTTTAGATCTGCTTTGAGAGGCTCTGCTTCTGCAGATCTATTTGGACACCGTCGAGTTGTTCGTCGCTTGACTGTTCTAGCGAACTCACTTTATAATAGCCCACTATCACCGGTTTTGACGTCTATCCGTCTCTCACTCAGGATCCCGCTATCGTACTCTTGAGGTGATGAGAGACGAAGGAAACATTGGCAAGAAATCAACTTGCTTGTGTACCTTTGATGTTTCAAAACACATCAAGGTCAGATTAGATATCAAATCTGACCTTGGTGTGTTGTGAAGCATTGACTCAGTCGGCCAGAGCGCAGGCATAATCCTCGACAATAATTCAAAATTGAGAGGGAGCGATGTGGCTCACAAACTTTAGGCCTATGGATCGCGGTGACACATGCTAACCCAGCCACCACGGCCGCTTTCGATGACCGACTTGTCCGTCACATTCGTCCTCGGTGGAGAATATGCCTTTTTCGTATCTTCCCTGCGCGCGAGTGTCCGGGTTCCCTTTCGAGCCACCGTTACTATCGGTACTGACGAGGTGAGTACGTTGGTATGGTGGCTCGTGTGGTATGTAGGTGGAACAGCGACCTGTCAAGTAATTATTAGGTTAGAACTTGACCGAGTCGTACTTGTATTTCTGATTTCAACAATGATTGATGAAGTCTGAGGAAAGTTACCATACTCATTAGACTTGTCTTGCACGTTTTGATGTCACTTCAAGAACCGAATAGCGTGCTGTGTCCGACAGCAATGATCACTCGATCGTTTCGATAGCCTCTCGAACTCAAGCTTAGTGGACCACGAGCAACTCTAGGCACGGTCGATCGTTTTCACATAAGTTCAAACATCCATTTCTTGAGCAGCACGATGATTTGCAACTGCGCTGATTGAGTGCGAATCGAGTCTTGAGCTTGCACCATCAACCAGGATACCAAGGCGAAAGCAGCCACTGTCGCGACATGCCGCTCGGGCTGCCGGCTCAATTTCGTACTCTGCTACAGCGATGTAATGAGACTACGTACCTACATGTGGAATAAATTTGGTCCAAGCTATTGTATCATATACACCCTGAGGTAGCGATCGTAAGCTCAGCATGATAAGTGTGATTATTGCAAAACGTGCAAGAATGTATATCACACCAAGAACTCCAATAATCTTCATGAGATTAACGGAAAGGAAATATAGGGCTTTACCCGATAATCCCTTGTACTCCGATGGCCGCGTGTCCAGATACCAGAGGGACCACATCGTTAACGATAAACCTGCTTTCCCAACGAAAGACATACGCCACAATATCCGCTCCGCGTGACTCGGAAACACAAAATTCCAGCCCAGGGTATGCATCGCTGCAAACAGCACCCCACTTCCACCTCCAGCGAGGAATGTGGTCATATTCCGAGCCGAGGTATGAGACCGTCGAACCTTGCGATTAAATAGTACAGACAGAAGTATTGGGGTACGTCGTTTGCTAGAATACAGGCCAATCAGAACAAGTTCTGCAAGGAATAGTGATTACAACGTACTCGTTGGCTAAACACTCGTGTGGTGGGGGAAAATTCGGGTTCCAATGAACAATATGAGGACGCTGTACGTCCTTCGGCTTCCGCCACCATAGTAAGCCATATGTATCGATGGTCAGAAGAACTACAGCCAGAGTGTCGAGTTCAAGCAATGTGGTGGGGAGGTGCTGGCCGTAACGGGCGATGATCTGGATGAAGAACCATCCCAGCTGAAGAATGGTAATACACCTGGATAGCACGTCACCCTTACTTCGGTCTTCTATGTCTGCCTTCGTGATGACGGGCATCTCCACAGATCCCTCGCAAACGAACCGGAGGAGTTCATCGGGTGTGAGAGTGGCCCACGGTTTACCATCGACGTAGAGCAGGAATCCACCCATCCCGGCGAAGAACCCATGTGTCTCTGTCCACCCTGTCAAGGCATCAGTTTCATGTTAATTTCTGAAGAGTCCGAGTAACAGACCTGCGCTTGAACTTTCGTTTGATTTTGAGACGGCATTAGGTAACACAACTGCCGGGCTGCTCTGCGGTGCGGCTTCACAGTCACCGTTGGGCTGGGCGGCCGCGCGTTGCGCACCAAGAACATCATTGAAGTCCTTGGCAACTTGACGAGCACATATAAGTTGCCATGCGGCCCAGGCGGCCATGAGTTCGGGGGCGAAATACGCAACAAACATGAGAAGTAGACGGCGAACAGTGACAACAACTACCCCCTCACCCAGACGCGGAATGTCCGGGGGGACGGCAGTCCATGTGCACGCAAACAAGGTCAAGCCACAGCTCGACATGATGACCCACAAGGTTCTAGAATCAGGGGAGGGTTGCCAGTTATTGGAAAAGAGTGGAAGGATACTACAAGTATCGTTGAGACCCGGGAGTGAAACCAGTGAAGCGCGAACAAACTGGAACGCCGAAGAGGACAGCGCAAAGTAAGAGGATCATCATGAAGTTGAGGGCATATCGTCTGATCGTTAATATTCTTCTCTCTTTTGATGGGTGCATTCTATCAATCTATCCATAATGGTTCACGCGTGAACCTGTTAAACGTAACGGCGGCGCGAGTTGGACGCTGAACCATGCAAGCTGAACCATGGCGATGCCGTTCGACCCTTACGATCTCTCAGTCTGCCTCGCGTAACAGGCATGATGATGGGCTCCTCGGGGTCTTGCATAGGTTTGAAGGAGCAATTTGATGTGGTATTTTGTAAGCCGTATGCTTATATATTAGTAATATATATGTCGGTTCCTAGTACTTCGGACAAGTAATACTCGGTTTTTTAAAGTTTCTCCAAACCCTGCACACACAATTGCCAAGTCCGGTCACCTTCACGAAAGTCATAACAAAAAGATCCCAGACTCTACCCGACATGTTCGCTTCAGTTTGGTGTTGCAGCCGGCCTCAACATATGATCCTCCTCGCATGTTTCCCTTCCTTTGCCCCTTTGTCGGCTCGATCTTCTCTTCATCTCTTTCTCACATCTTTAGCGTATTAGCTCTCCCGGGCGTGTTAATACTTTGTAACTCAATCTTATAATTCTGAAGGCTGATATATTTATGGTTAGGACTCGGAATATTTGTTTGAACCACATCAGCCGTTTACATAATATGTCGAATCGACGCTAGGCTATCTTCGTCGGTTCTACCGCATGCGTATCATCCATTTCAAGCGGAATCATTGTACTCGCGCTTCGAGTGATTGTTTCAAAAGGACGTCTATATTGCGATGCTATGCCTTTCTGCATCAGATTGATGGTCACGAGTCTACAGATTGATACGATGAAGCAGGAAGGTAAGTTCCATAGAGAATAACTAAACCAATAAATTTGCATTTCCAGCGGCTATCATATACCGTCCTGCAAACTTTATTCCTGAAGATATGTAGCGTGCATGCAGCATGTCCTTTGCACAAATCTTGCCGTGTGTTTCAAATGTCTCCATTCCCAGTAATTAACGATACAATCTCAGAAGATTTCATATCATTTCGCACCGAAAATGGGTTTCTCCATCCTCATCGTTGTTATCGCTTTGACAGCATCTATGTCTGTCAGTGCATGTAGCAAGACAACTTTCTCATCAAATGAAAGACCGCTGCTCAGACTGGGTTTGTGAATATGATGACGTGAGTATGAGCAGGTCGTTGTCCAACCAGGATTTAACCATATAGGCCAACTTACCTGCACGCTTTATGACTTGTATTTATGTCGACAATTGAGCTGGCAGCCCGAGCGGCACGTTCGCAACAGTAAGTCTTGTTTCTGCTTTCGCTATAGTATCCTGATTGATGGTGCAATACCTAGTTCAACTTCGGAGTCAACCAGTACAGTTGGTTTTGGCCAAAATTTCATATTGCTCGAGCAATGTGGATGTTTGAACTTATCTGAAAAGACTAGTCTTGTTCGTCATCTACTCAGCTTGAGTTCGAGAGGCTGTTGAAATGAGCGATCGTTGCTGTTGATGATTGATATTGGGTGGTCGCACAAAGATGGAATAATCTTGAATCTGTTCGTCAAACGTTAGTCTAGAAGGTTAGCTCATGGACATCGATCTGTGTGATGGAGTCAACGAGATGCTACTTCGTTGCCGATCATGATGTCAGACGTGTTATTTTCTGGTATGTAATCGAAGCCCAATCACGTCGTATGGGAGCGCGCGTCATGACAGGCTACAGTTAGTTCATCGAGTATCTGTTCTTCACGCTTTAATTAGAAAATACTAGGTCCGTGATCAGCCTGTTATAGGACTTACAGCAATTACTCGAAGTGAGAATTGCGAAATCAAAGGAGTCTTCGAAGTTCTTGCTATCAAGGCACAAGCTCTCGCTATCTGAATGCGCTATGTTTTGACCCTTGAACCTTTCCTGATCCCTTCCGCCAATGAGAATTTCAAATTTACAATAAGAGTACAAGATACTACACGTGCATTAGGCTCAAACCTGCACCCAGTTATATTTCATTTCTTCCAGCTCACATTTTGTGGCCGAGGTTGACGTGGACAGCCTTCACTGCAGTGTAACTGAGAGCAGATGAGTTTGTGCTAATACGCCGTTGACGCAACACTCACTTGGTTAGGGCGTAGTCGCCACACTCACGACCGATACCGCTCTGCTTGAAACCACCAAATGGTACATTGGAGTTGAATGAGTTAACGCAGTTGATCCACGCAGTTCCGGCTTTGAGTCTGTGTGCCGTGTTGAGGGCACGATTCAGGTCCTGAGTGAAAACAGCAGCAGCAAGACCGTAAAGCGTGTCATTTGCCTGCTTGATCACATCTTCCTCATCCTTGAATTTGATGAGAACACAAACGGGACCGAAAATCTCCTCTTGCACGATCTTCATCGATGGATCGACATTGGTGAAGATGGTGGGCTTGATGAAGTATCCCTCGCTTCCATGACGTTCACCACCAATTTCAACCTTGGCACCAGCCGCCTTTCCAGACTCGATGTAAGACATGATACGCTGGAACCTAGATTAGACAGAGAATGGTTACGAAAGCATTTCACGACATACGTTGAATTGAATCTCTGAGACCTGAGGACCCTGGAAAGTGTCAGGTGCAAATGGGTCACCGATCTTGAGCGACTGAGTTTTCTCCATGAAACGCTTGAAGAATTCGTCATAGATGCCTTCTTGCACGAAGATACGCGAACCTGCGGTACACGTCTGACCGTGGTTCCAACTGGTGAGATATAAGTACGGTTTGCATGACAGCACGCTATACTCACAAGATGCCGAATACAGCCCAGTTGACAGCTTGTTCGATATCTGCATCGTCAAAAATTATGTTTGGGCTCTTTCCACCGAGCTCAAGGGTGACGTTCTTGAGGTTGCTCCTTGCAGCAGCCTCCATGATCTTGCGACCAACAAGGGTTGAGCCAGTGAAGGCGACTTTCTCTATTCTCATATGTGAAGAGATAGCATTACCGGTAGTGTTTCCATAACCAGTAAGGACGTTGACTACTCCGGGCGGGAAGCCAGCCTCCTTGATAAGGTGGCACATTCGGATAGCGGTCAGGGGTGTGAATTCTGAAGGTTTTAGAACCACCGTGTTGCCGCATGCGAGAGCAGGACCGATTTTCCAGGCCATCATGAGCACTGCCAAGCAAAGAGTGAGTGCATGGCACTTCAAGCGGCTGATGTATACGTACATGGGAAATTCCATGGGATGATTTGACCCTATTACACGAGTATAAGAGTAAGATCTGAGAGCTTAGATGAGTATACTTACAACGACACCGATGGGCTCGTGGCGACTGTAGGTGAGCTTGTCTTCGGTGGTCTGCCCAATTGTCAGCGAATGAGCGAAGTTAATTGTTGAAAAGCTTCAGACCTCTTGTACTTGACCAGTGATCTTATCAGCCCAACCAGCATAGTAGCGAATACAATCGATGGAGCCAGCGACATCAATATTTCTTGCCCAATTGAAAGTCTTGCCTGGGGATTATCAGTCAACGATTCATATACCTGTTAACTGGCCCGGATGCTAACCATTGTCCAATGCCTCCAGAGCGGCAAGTTCATCGGCATTCTTCTCCATGAGGGCAACGAGCTTCGACATCAACCTGCTACGTTGTGCACCGGGGGTATGAAGACCCCAGGTGGTGTCGAAGGCTGCATGAGCAGCGTCGACGGCGAGGTCGACATCCTTGGGGGTACCCTCGGACACTGACGTTATTACCTTTCCATTTGCTATGCATCGAGTTCATGTGAGATGTGAACATCAATGCCAACAGAACGTACTCGGATTGATGACACTAAAATTGTTGAGATCAGTAAGAAGTGATTGATTGGCGACAGGTGTAGAGCATACTCGATAGTGGTATTGTCAGATCCATCCACGAACTGGCCATTAATGAAGAGACCGGTGTTGAAAGAAACTTTTGCCTTGAAAGCGGGCGCGTTAAACTCGTGAGTGAATGTAGAGGGCATGGTGACGATAGATTGATATCTCACAAACTGAGTAAATATGGGAGCGGAGTGCCATTATAAACACTGCTGGTCGTCATTTATTTATCCGCCAATAGTCCGGCATTTACAAATTCGCTGCGGTTCAATAGGGAAGTTCATGTGCGCTAGAACGGAGAGACTAGCTCAGCGAGAGCGTGAAGCAACGCTATGGCACTGCGTACATAGAACGAAAAGACTAGCTGTGGTGTCATGTCAGTATCTGAAAATATACCAGCTGCGACATCAGACATACCGAGTCAGGGGGAGTACTACATAGTGTGAAGTTGAATTGAGAGCAGGCTGACCAATTTTGACTCGGGTGGCAGTGGCCGCTCATGCTAATTTTAGATTACATAATGATGGATACTTTTGCTTCTATTCAAGTGCCAGCCATGGACGACGCTTGACATCATCTGGCATGTGAGCTCGAAGATCACGACGAGGCGAGATTGTTTAGGAATATAATTTGCGTCCATCGACGTGGATTGACCACGAGTCCAATCTTTGCGCCCTGTGCTGACTGGCAAATGAACGGCCATCAAAAAGAACCAGCGAGCGTCACCTACTGAAATAGTTTAGCCAATACCGACAAAAGGTATGTCGTATTTATAGTATTCATTCATCTAAAGCATTCACTGGGGATGATGAACGTATGAGATGAGAGATATCACGCCCGCGGCCCATCAGAATCAAAAGATCACACTCACTGCCTCTCGAACGTTCTTGGATTCTTTCCATCCCCATCCCATTGCTTATCGCTTACACTATCAACGATCGCTTTCACATCACCGCGCAACAGAGTAAATGGAAAGGCGAACAAAGTTAGACACTCCACCCACCCAACACTAACGGACGACTCAGTGAGCGGACCATCCCCAATTCCATTTCTCGTATAGTCGAAATCAAGTCGGATGCAGGCCATGGTAGTCCCAGAAAAGGACTGAGAAAGACCCGGTTTCCTCAACGTTCGACTATGGTGCATCGATGTCCGAACGAGAGTCTACACCCCCGTGCGTCGATATACTAACTTCTCGAGTCTTAGCCCTGATCTCGTTTGTCTCCGTTTAGTCTATTCATTAATTATATAAACTATAAACTCGTCGACCAACGACGTACGCCAGTAAGGCCTTATCAAACATGTGCGTTCTCATCGACACACGACCCCTACGACAATTGTAGAACAGGCTTGTACTGTTACTCAGATCACACACACCACACGGAACCACCTGCCAAACTTAGCATCTTCGTCTCTAAGTCTGCATCTGGCTTTATCTTCATTCTCGTTGGTAACCTTGAGCCTTTTGGACCTCTCTCACAACTCGGCTCCGTTGAAGAGCACTGCAACTGGAAACCATCAAGTTCGCTTTTCTATTTATGTCCTGATGAGCTCAATTTATAATAGCGTGCTTTTCGGTCTTGAGCTTGAGCGCTTCATTGCCCGTTCAGAAAAATAAAATCGTGCCTCACTCGACCTCGCCTGAACCTCGCTGTCGTTCAATATCTATCCAGATTCCAAATTCGCGTGGCCATGTTTGCCAATGTAGAGAATAAAGTGAACTGCCGTATGTCCCGTCCCTCCTTGGCTTTACCAGTGATCATTTTCCGCATTCAGCGTTTCGAAGGGACATTAGAGCAACTAGGCATATGTTTTTTTTCATCGCCCTCCATCATCAACATCAGCATTCTTCGTCGGTGTGTGTACTCCACATAGTGGCACAGCACCTTTTTTGCGGATGACGACGTCGACGAGGATCGCGTTCTGGTTCTGGGTATATATGTCATTTATCTATCCATCCCGAACCGCCAAACTCGGACTCGTCTCGGACTCTTCGCTACTGCTTCAAGAACCGATAGTCGATTCATCTTTGGAACGAGTTCTTGTTCAAAAATGAGCTATGGTGTTCTTCATATGCGGTACGATTAGCTTGTACTCATGACGAGGTTCTCTCCCACACATAGGTTCCCACAGCAAATAGTTTGCGTTCTTTTTGAAATCGTTGCTCGTTGCTCGTTCTGTTTACCATAAAACCAAACAGTACGCAGATGCCTCATACACCCATATCATCTCCTTCTTCCACCTAATATCGCCTCTTACAACTTCTTAATCAACAGCGTTCTACGCATCGCTCGATCAACAACAACACCAATAGAAAAGCAGAAACACTCACTAGGGTGTTACTCCGTGTAAATCGGCTCGTTCTCAATGTGGAACACTATTGTCGGGAGGCACGCACACAAGACCATCGCAGGAAGCTTGGGTATCGCAACAGTCACTGCTCGTTTCGCACCTATCGTCATTTGGGCTACAGGTTGGTCGCCTTGCTGTGACAGACATTATAGATGCTGCCAATGCAACAGTAAAGGCGAGGAAGAAGAAACGCATTGTTTGTTTGAGGTAAAAGTGCTCGAATGATATTTTCTGAGTTGGGTGGGCGCAGGTGACGGTAGGGACTTGCTTTTATATTCGCCCCACTCAATTCCATTTTATTTTTCTCGTTTTTAGCGAGCGAGTGTGTGTTACCGTGGAGAACAAGCAAATGAGAGAATCAAATGATATATTGGACTGCAGGTATGTTGTTCGACGTTCGTCATTGCGGAGTTTCAACAATGCGAATGCGGGGATGCTACTTATTTCCAGTAATTACAATCAAATGCGTCGTACATCATGGCGCTGGCAGGGCATCTGGTGGGTATCAGAATGCTGAACGAAGATTCCATCATACTGATTCAAGGACGGGGTGTGCAGCGCATCATAATCTATGTTTGGAAGGCCGCGCATGTTCATCAAGCATAGGCACTTGCTCGAACACATCCGGTACTCTTGGGTATATGTGTTTTCGATGAGGAATGACCACGGAATACATTAACCGTGACTGTTGGCATTTGACTTCGAATTTTCGAGGGCTGTCAATGTGCCGCCTTGGCATATCCTAATATCAACGCGCCTGCTGTGCTTCGAAAATGGTCGACCTCAATTATAACTCATTTCAGTTCTCACTGTCTGTCACTCGTATATCGCAGTGAGTTTCATAACGATCTGCAGTATGAGTTTTCCAAAACTTGGCATCACTATGTTGCTCACCAGACTCGGACTCATCTCGGCACTCTTTGCTATCGCTTCAAGGACCGATAGTTGGTTCATCTTTGAAGCAAGTTCTTCAAAAACGAGCTAGATTTCTGTTCTTGATATATAATGTGGTACGATTAGCGCATGTTGTCGTGTACTCATAACGAGATTGCCTTTGATTCTCTCCCCAAACTCAGGTTCCCATGACAAACGGTTTGCGTTCCTGTTAAAATTGATGCTTAGAGCTTGTTCTGTTCACTACATGATCAAACAGTACGCAGGTACGTCATACGCCCATACCATGTCCCCCTTTCACCCTATTCATTTCCTGATCAACAGGAACTCGCTAGGATGTTGCTACGTGCAAATTGGCTTGTATGTCTGTAAGTCTGCATCTGGCGTTATCTTCATTCCCGCTGGTAACATTCAGGCTTCAGGATCGCTGTCACAAATCCCCTCAGCTGGATAGCACGCCAATCTGGAAATCACTGAGTTTTATCTTCTTTTTCTGTTCTTCTGAAGATAATTTATCATAGGATGTCTCCGGTCTTGAGCTTGCCCACCCAGAAAAATACAATTGTGCCTCACTCGACCTCGCTTGGGGCTTCGCTGTCGTACCATATTTTCGTGTAGTTCTGTTTGCCAGTGTAGAAAATAAAGCGAACTACCGTATGTCCTGTTCCTACTTGGTTTTATCAGTGATCATTATACTGCTGTGATGAGATATGGTGCCAGAGAGATAGACCGTCGTTAGACAGAATACCATTTTCTCGTCATATGCATGTCCTCCAGACTTGCTCCAGACTAAGTCGAGAAATGCGAACGACTCGCCGGATCTATTTTTATGGTCTCACATCTATGTTCCCGGTGGTTGGCACCAGGGCGGATGAATCATTTGGACAAATAGTCCCCTGACAGACAAACGGGAAATTAACTCTTCCCACAAGCCAAGATCGTTCTAGTGTGATGCACGGATTTGATTGAAGCCCATTGAGAATCCTGAAAACAAATATTTAGATTGTCGTAACTGCAGGCCCAAGTTGAATGCCTGAAAACATTAAAGTACATCGATGTCATCATACAAAAACATATACAATCATCCTGGAAAGCAAGCACACAGGTCGATTACTCAACCTTCATAACGCTCTCAATGCGTTTCTGTTGAACGCGTCTTTTGAGGTCTGTCCATATTGGGTATCCTAATATCATCGCGGAGCCGACGTAAGCAGCCTGAATGCAAAGTTAAGGTGTGAGGCTCAGAAAGTCGCGAGACAGGCACACCGTTACTATAGTGCCCTTAACATATTGCCTGCAAAGTGACCAGGTATAAAGTGTTTCAGCCCCATGGATGGTGCAGAATATTGCGCAAGCGGTCCGAAAGGAAAGACCGAGACCAGTGGCGTTTCTAAACGCGTGGGCTGGGGAGAAGAATGCATTCACAGTGGTAACAGGTACGGAGAGGATTGTCGTATCAGGCGCTGGTGGCGAAAGGAAATAGAAGTATGCGAACAAAAGGATTCCTGTGAATACACTTGTGGGAGGAATCCGAAATGTGGTTATTTGGGGAGCTTTGAGCTGTAGTACATGGACATGTGGCTGTCAGAGACATGACGGGCTGGAAGCAAAGGTTGTCAAAACGCACCATACCAAGACCTTCCTGAGCCTCCGCCTTCATACTCAGAAGCCGTGGTTTGACTTCCTCATACCCCGAAAGCGGCGGGTCAAATGACACCCGGCTGGTATTTGATTGTCCGGACTTGAGTTTATACACAAGCGTCATGCCCTGGCCGATTTGTCAACGCTAGTGAGAACAGAACATCCATTTCTCTGGGCCTACCTTGGAATCAATGCTAGACATCTCAGCAGTGAGCACGTTGCCCTCGACTTTCCCGAAATATTTGACATATGCAACCAATGTATCAGGATGGTTCTTCATGTACATGCATAGGAAGCCAGACTTGGAAGCGACCGGGTCCGACATGATTGCCTGCGAAGACTTGTTGTACAATGAACACTATAGAGTTATAAAGCAAGTAGGCGTCAATTGGAATCGTTTGATTGTAGCAATCGGCTGCAATGAAGTAACGTGATATAAGCTTATGTAATTCTAGTAGGATCGTACTGAACGATCGTCTCAGGCCACGACCTCGCACAGGACCCTGCACACAGCGTTATCATACAGGATTTGTGCAAATTCGCGCGGCGTGGCATACTTGAATGTTTGGGTAAGCTAATAGATTTAACGAGGCAAACCATCTCTTCCGACTCAGAATCCCTGAAGTTGACGACGTAGTTCGAAATAGCGTCATAGTAAGTTCTACAAGGCGCAGAGGAATTTCCATGTACGTATTCTTTATTCAGCCCCATATCCTACATGACAGCGTTTTCGAATACATAGGCATAGGCCAAGTGTATGTTGCGGTGGGGAATAAGTAAGCGAGAGAACATAAAATGATATTGTCGACGCTTCTCATCGCGGAGTCTCCACAATGCGGGTGCGGGGATGTTACTTGCAGTTTTGCCAACCGGTTGTGCTAAACTGGTTACGCCCAATGTCGCACACATAGTCTGACTTTTCATGTAGCCTAGAGTTCTGCCAGTTCTGTCAGTTGCAACCCCGCAAAACTGAACCCGTTGTACCCCCTGCACTATCTTCAGTACAATCCTCAATGCATTATGCGTCATGTCTCGGACGCTGGTCACTGAAGTATCACCACCAATGTCCACGGGAATTCGTCATATGTGCATGACTGTTGGGCGTTAGACTTCGAGCCTTCGAGCTGCGTGCCGCCTCGGCACATTCTAATCTCAGCGCGCGCTGTTGTGTGTCAGAACGACCTCAATCAGAACTCGTTTCATTTCTTTCATTATCAAAGTCTATCACTCGTGGATCACTCATAAAAATGAAATGGAACAGAGTGGGCTTCTGTGAAGCTATTATCACGAAATTTAAGGTTCGTAGCCATTTTGACACGAGTGCCTCAGCGGTCGTGCGAGACTGCGAGTGATGCACTCGTAACGTGGCTGTAACGAAGCAAAGTGCCACGTCAAACCAAATATTGAAGTTACTGATTTGTATCACAGGTCTCCACCGCCTTGTCGAGCTCCAACTAGACGATTAAACGAGACTGCTACAGAAAATAGTATGATTAACTGTTTGTCTTGTCGAGTGAACCGCTGCTTCATTTCCGCTGGCCATGTTTGCCGCGGACGTGATACGGCTGTTGACTGCTAGCTTCTCTAAAGATCGATCTTTGTACTCAGTTTGCACTCATGGCTAGCTTCGCTGATTGAATTGAGACTGAAGGCGGCCCGAGTCGTGTCACTGATGTGGCCTTTGTAAGGCTTACACAACACCGGCACGGTGAAGCTTGATGTGGAACGATACGGGTAGATAGGACGCACGCGAGATGGGGGAGACTTGACGCGCAATTAATGGTGGTATGTGTGTCACAGCATCCGGATAGTTAACATTCACTGAACCACCGTCAGTGCGATCAAAGACGAGTACAGAAGGAGGCGCACTGCAAGGTGTTATATCCACTTGGGACAGACTCGGCAAATGATAGTTTTAAATGATCGTTTCTTTAGGTTCAGACAACACATTTGGAATTTGAGCAGGCATTGACAATTCTCTTCATCAATGCTCGCTCGAATCCCCGGTCTCTCGTACTAATGTGTCGCTTATCGCAAACCCTCGGTTCGCCTTGGTGACCCTGCGCATCGACGAGGTTGAGAAATAAAACGCACGCTCCATGACCTTGGGCTGTGAAATTTGATTAATTGATTTCCCATCAGAAAATAACACATCTGCCACGGATTACGAATCACGATTGGCAACGAATTGGCGTCTCGTTGTCTTCATCAGTGATCACACCAGAGAAAGAGAGGGAGAGAGATTCACGAGCTAGCCTTTTGATACCAACGTTAGACAAACAGATTTGAGATTGTCTGCATAGTGTAATCATCGACAGCAATGATCGCTCGTTTCGACAGCCTCTCGAACTCAAGCTTAGTGGACCGCGAGCAAGACTAGGGACGGCCAGTCATTGTCAGATAAGTTTAAACATCCGCATTGCTCGAGTAGTATGAAAATTTGTCCCAAACAACTGTACTGATTGAATCCGAACTAGGTGTTGCACCATCAATCATGACGCTTCCAAAACGAAAGCAGAAACACGGCTCACTGCACTGTTGCGACGTGCTGCTCGGGTTTCCAGCTCAATTTTCAACCTACGCGCAGTACTTACCATCAATCTAAGGTGCGCAGGTGAGTCATGTGGTTGAATCCTGGTTACACAGCGACCTGCTCAGACTCACTTCATCTCCTACGCAAGTCCAGGTTGGGCAGCAATCTGCAGTTGTATTGCAAAGTAACATGCTACATGCACTGACAGACATGGATGCTGTCAAAGCAACAACAACGGCCAGGAAAGAGAAACGCATTTTATGTGCGAGGTGATGTGGAATCTTCTGAGGAGGATCTCGAATGGTATCTCGGAGGATAGGGTAATAGTACTAGTATAGGATGACAGCTGGCTTTTATATCCGGTATACTTATTAAGGTATGGCCCTGGGCAGCGTTCACAGTGCTGGGTTTTCAATTTTCAAATCTGTGTTCGACGGAGTTACCCGAAACAGCAACATTTGATCGATCTTCTATATGATCTCAGATCTGACACAGCTTCACCGCTTAACCTTTAACCGGAACCCTTGGGGACTGGCGCGATTCGTGTTTCAACCATTTTTCATCCTATGCGTCTCCAAACTGAGTCAAGACCCGCCAGCCTCGATTGGATTCTGTATTAACTAATCGCGTATCGATCCCAGAAGGTAGCGTTCTACGAGAGCTTTAAACCGAGTACTTGAAGTCGCAACTAACCTCACAAGGACATCGTTCAACAGGAGCAGGACATTCGAATTCGTGGTGCTGCTAGTATGGGAACAGTGAAATATTATTATTGAGAGCTCTCACAATCCATCGACTTAATTTGTTCGATCCAAGGCAACTTATATCATACATTATCACATGGGGAGACTTCGTACTTGGTTTTGAGGTGCGTCGTTTTGGAAGGGCGTTTGTCTTAAATAATACTGAGTCACGGATAGCTAGGCGACGTTGCAACGTCTGCCTCCGATCCAATTTTGGTCTTTCCACCGTCATATGCATCTCCTCCTGATCCTCCTGGATGTTTGTCTGCGTTTGGTTCGTTCATTGCTTCTCACTATATAAACATGCAAATAACCCGACGATGTATCCAGGCTTTACCTTTAAATTTATCCACCCCCTCCCAAGTCACCTTGCATCCGACAGACCTTTGGTACAAGTGCAATCCACTTTGGACAGAGTGCTGTTGGAAGGCATTTGTACTGGAGTTATTCGCATCACATGCACCACGGCCTTGTCTGTGAGTTTCAGTGACGTGTATCTTCATCTATAGCACAGCTCCATCCATGCTCTTCATTGCCTGCGCCTTTATATCTACCTTAAGAGGCTCTGCTTCTGCAGATCTATTTGGACACCGTTGAGTTGAGTTGTTCATCGCTTGACTGTTCTAGCGAACTCACTTTACAATAGCCTACTATCACCGGTTTTGACGTCTATCCGTCTCTCACTTGGGATCCCGCTATCGTACTCTCGAGGTGATGAGATGAAGAACGAAGGAAACATTGACAAGAAATCAACTCGCTTGTGGACCATTTGATGTTTCAAAACACATCAAGGTCAGATATTATGTCAATCTGACCTTGGTGCGTTTTGAAGCATTGGCTGAGTCGACCAGAGCGCAGACATAATCCTCGACATTAATTTTAAAATTGAAAGGGAGCGCTGTGGCTCATAAACGTTAGGCCTATCTATCGCGGTGACTCATGCTAACCCAGCCAGGGCCGCTTTCGATGACCGACCTGTCCGTCGTGTTCGAGTTCCCTTTCGAGCTGCCGTTGCTATATGATACTGACGAGGTGAGTAGGTTGGTACTATTGTGCTCATGTGCGTTCACGTACTTGTATTTCCGATTTCAACAAAGTCTGAGAAAGTCACCATACCCTGCTACAACGATGTAATAAAACTACATACCTACATGTGGAATAAACTTGGTCCAAGCTACTGTATCGTATACACCCTGAGGTAGCGATCGTAAGCTCAGTATGGTAAGTGTAATTACTGTAAGACGTGCAAGAACATATATCGTGCCAAGAAATCCAATAATCTTCATGAGATTAACTGAAAGGAAATATAGGGCTTTACCCGATAATCCGTTGTACTCCGATGGCTGCGCGTCCAAATACCAGAGGGACCACATCGTTAACGACAAACATGCTTTCCCAACGAAAGCCGTATGCCACACTATCCGCTCCGCGTGGCTCGGAAACGCAAAATTCCAGCCCAGGGCATGCATCGCTGCAACCAGCACCCCACTGACACCTCCAGCGAGGAATGTGGTCACACTCCGAGCCGAGCTATTAGACCGTCGCACCTTGCGATTAAAGAGTATAGACAGAAGCATTGGGGTACGTCGTTTGCTAGAATACAGGCCAATCAGAACAAGTTCTGCAAGGAATAGTGATTACAACGTACTCGTTGGCTAAGCACTCGTGTGGTGGGGGAAAATTCGGGTTCCAATGAACAATATGAGGACGCTGTACGTCCTTCGGCTTCCGCCACCATAGTAAGCCATAGGTAGCGATGGTCAGACAAACTACAGCCAAAGTGTCGACTTCAAGCAATGTGGTAGGGAGGTGCTGGGCGTAACGGGCGATGATCTGGATGAGGAACCATCCCAGCTGAAGAATGGTGATACATCTGGATAGCACGTCACCCTTACTTCGGTCTTCTATGTCTGCCTTCGTGATGACGGGCATCGCCACAAATCCATCACGAACAAAGTGGAGGAGTTCATCTGGTGTGAGAGTGGCCCACGGTTTACCATCGACGTAGAGCAGGAATCCACCCATCCCGGCGAAGAACCCATGTGTCTCTGTCCACCCTGTCAAGGCATCAATTTCATGTTAATTTCTGTTTGACTGAAGAGTACGAGTAACAGACCTGCGCTTGAACTTTCGTTTGAATTTGAGATGGCATTAGGTAACACAACTGCCGGGCTGCTCTGCGGTACGGCTTCACAGTCACCGTTGGGCTGGGCGCGTTGCGCACCAAGAATATCATTGAAGTCCTTGGCAATTTTACGAGCACATATGAGTTGCCATGCGGCCCAGGCGGCCATGAGTTCGGGGGCGAAATAGGCAACAAACATGAGGAGTAGACGGCGAACAATGATGACAATTACCCCCTCACCCAGACGCGGAATGTCCGGAGGGACGGCAGTCCATGTGCATGCAAACAAGGTTAAGCTACAGCTCGACATAATGACCCACAAGGTTCTAGTATCAGGGGAGGGTTGCCAGTTACTGGAAAAGAGTGGAAGGATGCAGGTATCGTTGAGACCCGGGAGTGAAACCAGTGAAGCGCGAACAAACGGAACGCCAGGGAGGACAGCGCAAAGTAGGAGGATCATCATGAAGCTGAGGGCATGTCGTCTGATCATTCTCTCTTTTGATGGGTGCAGCCACGTTCTATGAATCTATCCATAATGGGGCTGGTTCATGCGTTAACTCGTTAAACGTAACGGCGCCGCGAGTTGGGCGCTGGACCATGCAAGATGAGCGCTGAAGCGCTGAAGCATGGTGATGCCCATTCGACCTTTATGATCTTTGCCTCGCGTAACAGGCATGATGATGGCCTCCTTGGGGTCTTGCACAGGTGATTTGATGTGGTATTTTGTAAGCCGTGTGCTTATTGTTAACGTTATCGCTCGGACAGTACTCGGTCTGTTAAAGTTTCTTCAAACTGTGCACATGCCACATACTGCACAATTGCGAAGTCCCACACAACAAGCGGTGATGCATCGATGAGTGACCTGTTATCACTCGGAAATTGTTAACGTTTAGCGCTCAGCGCTCAGCTCCCACAGCAAGGTACGTCAGTGAAGACCTCGCTCACCGCATGGACCGTACATCATAAGTTCATTGATATTTTCGCTCTTTTTCTTGTAAATGAGGTACAGAGCCGCATTGTAGCTGCACTCCCTCTGATGTTGGTAGTATATATTGGTTCAATATGTCCTGTTGAGTGTATCCTGGCTATTATCTATTGCGCAAACCTACTGTACAGGGAGGAGCATTGGAGTGAGGCTTGGGCTGGCCAGAAAATGTTAATATTTTGAGCAGTAGTAGTGACCGCTTCGGACAATCTTATGGTGAATCATTGGTGATAAAAATTAAAATCAATATGTGCGGTCTCAGCCAATTAAATCCATTTGTCGTTTATTCGAAGAACGTAGAACTACTTGGAGGATATCTGAGTTGAGTATCCTACTAATTATCAGAGTCGACAAAGTTTCTGAGGTCTTTTTACGTTACACTGCTGCCAGCTGCTCACCTTGATTTCGCCACGGCTTGGCAGCCGAACAGTGGCGAAACACGTGGTAACGGGTCACTATTACACCGGTAAACAGAACGTTCTGTTATCGCTCGGACGGTACTGGGTTTTTTAAAGTTCCTCCAAACCCTGCACATACCATATGCACATAATTGTGAAGTTCGAACACCTTCACGACATTGATCACAACGAAAAGATCCCAGACTCTATACTCGACATGTTTGCTTCAGTTTAGGTTTAGTGTTGCAGCCGGCCTCAACATCCTCACTCCTCACATGTTTCCCTTCAAGCCTTTGCTCTGAATCCTTTGTCGGTTCGATCTTCTCTTCAGGTCTTTGACGTATTAGCTCTCCTGTGTTAATACTTTGTAACCTAACATGAAGGCTGATATATTTATGATTAGGACTCGGGATATTTGTTTGTATGGATGGAAACCACATCAGCCGTTCACATAACATGCCAACGCCTCTTCGTCGGTTACCGTTCAACCGCCTGTTTGTCCTCCATTTCGAGCGGATATGCTCGCGCTTCGAATACACGTTTGAAAAGAACGTCTATATTGCGGTGCTAAGCCTTTCTGCATCGGATTGATATCATCAAGCAGGACGGTAGGAAAGCTCGAGGTAAGTCCCATTACATACATCACTCATCTGCGCGCCTAAGTTAGGATGGAGGTATGACCTCTATTTAGGTCAACAATTGAGCTGGCAGCCCGAGAGACACGTTCGCAAGTTGGCAACAGTGAGTCAGGTTTCTGCTTTCGCTTTGGTATCCTGATTGATGGTGCAATGCCTAGTTCAATTTTGGAGTCGACCAAGTACAGTTGGTTTTGGACAAATTTTCGTATTGCTAAGCAATGTGGATGTTTGAACTTATCTGAAATGACTAGTTTTGCTCGTCATCTACTCAGCTTGAGTTCGGGAGGCTGTTGAAACGAGCGATCGTTGCTGTTGATGATTGATATCGGGTGGTCGTGTGAAGATGGAACAATTTTAAATCTGTTCGTCAAACGTTGGTCTTGAAGGTTAGCTCGTGGATCTATCTCTATCTGTGCGATGGATCCAACGAGATTGCCGATCGTGGTTCATCAGACGTGTTATTTTTCTGGTATGTAGTCGAAGTCCATATGGGGGCGCGCGTCGTGACAGACTACAATTGGTTCATCGAGTATCTGTTCTTCACGCTTCGATTGATAGAAAATATTAGGGCTCGTGATCAGCCTGTTATAGGACTTACAGCAGTCACTCAAAGCGGGAATGGTGAAATCAAAGGAGTCCCTGAAGTTCTTGCTATCAAGGTTCAAGCTCTCGTTATTTGAATGCGCTAACATTGTTTGGTCCTCGAACCTTTCCGGATCCCTTCCGCTAATGAGAATTTGAAATTTACATGTAACATGATAGTAAATACAATAAGAGTACAAGATTCTACACGTGCATCAGGATCAAACCTGCATCCAGTTATGTTTCATTTCCTCCAGCTTGCATTTTGTGGCCGAGGTTTACGTGGGCAGCCTTCACTGCAGTGCACATGAATTTGTGCCAATACACCATTGACGCAAGACTCACTTGGTTAGGGCGTAGTCGCCACACTCGTGACCGATACCGCTCTGCTTGAAACCGTCAAATGGTACATTGGAGTTGAATGAGTTAACGCAGTTAATCCATGCAGTTCCAGCTTTGAGTCTGTATGCCGTGTTGAGGGCACGATTTGGGTCCTGGGTGAAAACAGCAGCAGCAAGGCAAGACCGTAAAGCGTGTCATTTGCCTGCTTGATCACATTTTCCTCATCATTGAACTTGATGAGAACACAAACAGGGCAAGGGCTTGCCTACTAGCTGCCCCGTTGCTGCATCCTACAACCGCACAGTGCGATCATCCGGTCCAGTCGCAATGCGAGTCCCATCCGGCGAGAACTAGACTGAGCACGAGATGGTAGAGAATATCTTCTCATGGTGACGGTCGGCTCCTCGATCTTGATCGAAGCAATAACACGAACCAAGCCCTCCCGCATCGCTGAACCACTTAACGACCGTGTGGGCAATGGCTGATTTGCCCTTGCCTGCATTGCCAGATAGCCACAACACCCGTGGAACGTCGTCTTCAGTGCTGTTCACCCAATCTGTGATTTGGGAGAGTACTTCCGTGCGCGTCCCTTGGAGGCATTGTTTCCTGGTGTCTAGCCCTGCGTTCGCTGCATAAGTTATACCACTGAGGTCCAGTAGTTCGCCTGAGGAGAAATGTATAGCTGTTGCGTCAGGAACAAGTATGATACTCACCTGTACGGTGGGTGTAAATAGCTACGTCCCAAGCAACTCAGTTCCGGAAGCTTTGCATGAGGGCATCCAACGCATCGCTGTGACGTTTAATTTCATTATTTGTTTCGGTGAGAATGTCTTTCCCGAGTCTCTTCCCTGTTGTGATGGTTGGAGACTAAGCGCGTGGAACGTGCAACGGCTTGAAGACTCACAGAAGCTCTTGGTCTCTGAACAATCTCTGATGAAGCGGGAGCACTCAGGTGTCTGCTGAGAGATCTGTCCAAGGATACCACGCATGGACGAAATTTGACCAAGCGCTAACAGGATTAGGCCCATACCTCTGCGAGCTTCCCGATACTATTGTCGAATATCCTGAGGAGCTGAAGATATGTATCCTGGAAACTATATGTGTCCTCGAGATCCCCTGATGCATTTTGGGCGGCGGATGCCCCAGATTTTACAGGCCCTGAAAGTATATTCATGCGTTTGACAGCCTCTTTGGCATCTCGAAGTGCCGATCGTGGATTAGCATCTTGTTTCACACCAGATGGAGCATCCTGAACCTGTGCAGCCATCAAACGTTAAGAGAGAAAGAAGAAACTAAAAGGTGACCTACCTCGGGCTCGCGACCGCGCAAATTCCTCAGGTTCGAGCGCTTTTGTATGATCTCAGTCTGGTCCCATGCAATTCGGTTTCTCAACTTACAGAAATCTTCTTTGTTACACCATCCTTGACCTTCTTCAAAAACTGACAAAATTTGTGTGGCGGTCGGGCCTGGACAAATGGGGGCATCAGAGTCAGTGTTCGAGAGTGCGATGGACAAGTGATACATATGAGCGACGTACCGAGCTTCCTCGAATGACTGCTGTGGTGTCTGGAGGAACTGAACTCGAGTTCCTTGATTGATTGGTGTTGGTCATGACGAATAGTTAAGAATCAGTGTGGGCGAAGTAGGCGTTGAACGAGAAGAGTGGGATAGAAACATCACTTAAATAATTATGATTGCAGGGCATACCCTTGGCCGCAAGCCTCGAGACAACACTTATTTGCTGCTGTGTTGACCTCCGGAGCCCTAAGCATGGCCAGCAGGCTGCTTGGGGCAGGCACTAATATTGTCTAGTATGGACAGTCGAGGTCAGTGATTTAGTCACTCAGTACTCAGTTACTTACTTGGTAAGGACGTTCGAAGCCGAGTTGACGTCGGAGTTACCCGAAAACAGACGGTTGTTCGATTGATCATCGATTCCTGCAGGTTGCAGCCTGTATATGATCTTGATCAGATCTGACATGACTGCCACCGCGGAACCCTCAAATTCCATTTCTCATCCTACGCATTTTGTCACTCTAAACTGAGCCAGGACGCGCCAGCCTCGACCTGATTTCTGGATCAAATGATCGCGTAGAGCTTTAAGCCGACTACTTGAAGCCGTAACTGACCATGCTAACCCTCAGCACACGCCATCAAACATAAAAATAACTGCGGCGCAAGGCAGTGCAACACATCCCTCACAAGACGACGTCAGGAAGGCCTGTGCCAAATGCGTAAGCAGGCACTAGGCGTAGAGGTGAGCGGCGAGGACAGAAGAATGGAACAGTCGATATGAAGGAGGATGACGGCCATACTCCGCCATTTGACCTGGGCAAAACGGCAAAACCAAGTGTCACGGTAAGCCGCACCCAATATTATTTTCCTTAATGAAATGTCGTCTTTCGTATTGCTTTTAGCTTCCTATTAGACACTCGTCCATCTCATTTCTGGCTTGTGTTCTTGAAGTTTCGCATCTTATTCCACGCCTCAAGTCTTGACATCCTTGCACCCATCATTCTCATGGTACTAGCTCGTTGTTTCCATACACATGTTGTACCGTACGCAATGAAACACGTTCCTATCTATTGACCCAGTCTTCTCAACATTTATAGGTTTAAACTGTGCGTGCGGTGTGCACCCGAAGCCAAACGACTATCCAGAACTTCAACGTTGCAACCACTGCATGCTGCTGTGCAATCTTCAGTTTCTTCAATCTACTCTGGGAGATGCCTTGAACACGCACTTCTCCCCGTTAGTTTTGCTTGACCGCATTTCTGATCACGCTCACAGTGATCATTCTGGCCATGCTCTCGAATAGCTGTCATTCAGTCGCAACCTTTCTAACACGTACGTCGCTCGCTCAAACTACCCCAAAGCCAAATACAATGCTACGTATATAATAGACAATGAATTGACTGTACACTCTCCATATCGTACTCGACAAATATCTCTGCAAAACAATTTACAGGAACGAGATCATCGCAATCAAGAGCTACAACGATCGAATTGATTAACTGCGAGGGACAGAAAAAACTGGAGGCTCACTCCATGTAGCAGTGCTGCCAGCGTGTCCCATGTGCCATGCGACTCAAGTCAAGCTCAGCACCACCTCTGGGAGCCACTAATGCAGTCCGAGGATTATAAAATGGTTTTCGAGAGGCAGGCGGTACCCAGAATAAGCGACGACGGTTAGGTCCCACCATCCATCCATCCTCCTCCAGAAAATTGAACATCGACCTGCGGTCATTAGGGGGGGGCACCTGCGAGTAGCTCAGCAGGGTCGCGCAGTGCATGTGTCGAGTGTGATGAGAAGGAAATGAAAGCATCATTCGCAGTGTTGGGTGTGGGGACGGCCGGTGTTGGATGTGGGATGCAACTGTCATGCGAGGATGATGATGAACAGTCTTCTTCGGTACGGTCCTGTAATGACTTCCCAATCACCGCATGCCAGACTCGGACAGTTCCATCCCGTGAAGAAGAAATGATGCGAGTCCCATCCTGCGAGAATGAGACTGACCTGACCCACGAAGTGTGCCCCCACAAAGGCTCACTGACTGGCTGCCCTGTTGCGAGATCCCACAGCCAGATAGTGCCATCGATCGAGCCAGACACAATGTTGTGTCCCATCGGGAGAGAACGAGACTGAATTGACCCAAGAAGTGTGCCCTTTCAAGGGCTCACCAACAGGCTTCCCCGTTACTGCATCCCACAGTCTGACTGTCTTATCATCGGAACCAGAAACGATGCGAGTCCCATCCGGAGAGAACGAGACCGACTTAACCTCACCAGTGTGCCCACAGAAAGGTTCACCCACTAACTGTCCCGTCCCTGCATCCCACGGCCGGACAGTTTTATCCTTAGAACCAGTCACGATGCGAGTTCCGCCCGGCGAGAATAAGACTGACCAAACCAACTCAGTGTGCCCCTCCAAGGGCTCACCAACTGGTTTCCCCGTTCCTGCATCCCACAACCGGACTGTCTTATCGATCGAACCAGAAACGATGCGAGTCCCATCCGGAGAGAATGAGACTGAGATAACACAACTAGTGTGCCCCAGTAAGGGCTCACCGACAGGCTTCCCCGTTCCTGCATCCCACAGCCGGACAGTTTCATCGTCCGAACAAGAAACGATGCGTGTCCCATCCGGAGAAAACGAGACTGAACGGACACAATCAGTGTGCCCTTCCAAGGGCTCACCGACTGGACGACCTGTCACTGCATCCAACAGCTGGACAGTGCCATCCTTCGAACCAGTGGCGAAGCGGGTCCCATCCGGCGATAGCGAGACTGAAGTGATGGAATTGGAATTGGCGGGCTCACCAACTGGCTTCCCTGTAGATGCATCCCACGGAGAGAACGAGACCGAGTTAACACCACCAGTGTATCCGCTGATCACAGTCTGAACGGCCGTCCAGTTGATATCACGTCCGGATGCTACACGAAGAGAGTTCTGAAACCGTGCAGAAAATATTTTGGATAGTGCAGAGTTAAGGGGAGAGAATGGAAGTGCTGATACATAGAGATGAGATGTGCTGTGCAAGATGATGCCGCCGAACACTTGAATGAATCTCTGCACGTCCAGTGCAGCGGACGACGCATCTTCGTATCCGGTGTGACCCTGTGATTGCGATTGCGCGTTAGTGAGCATGTTATCTGACGCTCGATAGCCGTGTGCTCACCTTCAACCACCTGGCAATGAGCGGAAGGGCGGTTTTGACTCGTTTTCGCAGATCGGGATCTTCAGAGTTGGGAAGATAAGATGATTTTAAACCGCAGATATTGAAGGAGAGTCCATCTTTCATCACTCCAAGTGATGCGAAAGCAAGGTTGCGTTGAACCTTCGGCATGTCGACGAAGAACTCTTTACTGTGTGATTGGTCTGTCAGGAAATCGCGGAAGGATGCGTGAAGGGGTCGGATTGGCATGGATGGGTCGGTGGTACCGCTGAGGAGAGATCCCATGTGTTCTATGATGTCCTTCACTTCGTAATACTTGCTTTCATCTGTAAAATGGCTTCGCATGGCATCCAGGGAATTCAATGGGAGGGGCTCGGCTGTGCCAAGAATTTGTCCGATCACAGAATGAAACATCGCTAGCTGTGTTTGCCGAAGCTCGGGGTCTGCGTGTTCATCCTTTGGTATGATCTGCTTCAGGATTAAGTCATACATATCATACAACAGGTGTTCCCGTTTGACACCATCGCGAGACACGATATCATTGAAGAACTTAATGGAAGATGAGCTGAGAGGAGGTTCTTTGATGGATTTGCAAGCAAGACGTGCCCACTGGAAAAGACCATTAGCTTTCTTGGCCAGGGCTGTAAACTTTTCGCTCCCAAAATCCGGAAGCCCTTCTAATTCCTGCGATATGTAGGTGCAGATATCGCGTTCAGCCACTTCTAATGGAATGTCGTCCATAGATTTTCTTCGAATGTGTTGAACACCCGCAAACGAATTCTGAATGTCGCGAAGCGGGCGCGAGGTGACTATGATCCGGAAGTTCTTTGGGAGTTTCGTGATATGCGTGATGGTTTGGTCTCGAAGTTTACCGGAAAGAATGCGAAGAAGGTTGCTACGTGTCTCCACCTCGCCACTTTCGTCCAGTGCGTCGATCACGATCACGACAGGCCCCACGGGTGACTCAGAAAGCTTCCCTAACGGTTCTATAAGAAGCTTCTGCCACTGCTGTATGACATCTGATGTAGTCTTGAGCGCAGTCTGGTTCTTGACTGCATCCGCTAACGCTCGTCTCATCTCCGGATGACGGTCAGCCAGGTCTCGTGCGATAGTGGTGAAGACCTTTTTATGGCGATCTTTTTCGTTTTGATCAAAGCAGTAACAAGATCCAAGTCCGCCCACTCCGATGAACGAGTTGGCGATCGTGTGAGCAATGGATGATTTACCCGTTCCGGCAGGTCCAGATAGCCATAACACCCGTGGAACATCTTCTCCGCTGTCGTTGATCCATTTCATGATGTCGGAGAGAATGCCCTTGCGTGTCCCTGGTTGGCATTGCTTCGTAGTATCTAGTCCTGCGGAGTCCGCATAAGCCATACCATTAAATTCCAGTATTTCGCCTGTAGAAGTATGAATGGACGTCGAATCAGAAGCACGTCCGAATCCTCACTTGTATGGTGAATGTAGATCGCTACGTCGTGAGTAACTTGGTCACGAAAATTTTGCATGAGCGCATCCAACACATCGTTATACCGTTTTATCGTATCGTTTGTTTCCGAGATGACATTCTTTCCGAGTCTCTTCCCTATGATACGATTGAAAATCTGCAAAGTGTAACGACTTGTGGGAGACTCACAGAAGCTTTTCTTGTCTGAATAATCCCTGATGAAATTGGCGCATTCTAGGGTCTGCCGAGAAATCTGTCCTAAGATGTCCTTCATTGACGAAATCTTGAGAAGCGTGTCGTCTTGCGTTCATCAGTGAACTGGCGGAAAGATGAGAAGAACATATATAATAATATATAGTACATAATCACAAACATCATCATAATTCTGTTATCGATCGTCACATTGTGATGTTTGACCTTGTACAGGAAAGAACAGTCCCTAAAATTCCTACACCAGTTGATGCTCGGGAGAACACTCATACATCGTTCGAACTTCAACTTGAAGGGAAAGTGGAGCAAGAGGTGATGATCAAGCTAGATGAAACGCAATTGGTGCATCAGAAGTGAGTCTCACGATGTCAAAGCCAGGCATGAGAATCATAACCTTCCCGATGACGATAATATGTGTACCAAGTGAGCAACGATAAATTCCTTATTTTGCTCGGAATTTTGACAACAAAACGTTTACCAAGTGCGCGAGAACGAATTCATGTTCTCCTGTGAATTTTGATGCCGCCTTCTTCAAATAGTCAATGTTTGTCCGCTATGCAATCAATTGCGAATCAGTACACAAAAGCTTTACTCGTCCGTAGCCATGCAACATTCTGTGAGTATCGAACAAGAATAAATGTATGCCCTACTGTGAATATTGTCTCGACTTTCTTCAGATACCTAATGTTTGTCGGCTAGATATCGTTTGCGGATGTGAGCCATTCATTGTGAATTACTGATTTTCAAGGGAACCTGGAACGAATTCTGATAGACAAACTAGATGTATTACAACCACCACGTCAGAAAATGTACTCATCGAGTCAGTGACAATCAACCGTTGTCTTGAATGAAATTTTAACGCATTTTTCTTAGATTATCTAACGATTGCCTGCTTTACATTGATTGGGAATTCGTGGGAATAAGCGCTACCCGGGCCCACCAGCCAAATGTGTTCAGTGAGCGAGCGACAATCAACTTATATCCTGCTTTAACTTTCCACGGGACCTTCTTCGAGTCTCTGGAAGCTGTACTCCACTTGTGCTGCTTCCCAAGGGTTGGCAGCTTGGCACCGATGTTGCATATTTATAGTATGGTATCTTAGCTCGGTGTTCGAAAATATATCCTGACTAGTCCTTATATCGTGAGCTTGGCTTACATATTGGCATGTTCAATAATTACTGTTACTTCGCACATATACACTTTCTGCGCTGCAAGCGGAGTAATGGGCAAAAAATTCAGTCACTTCGTACATAAGAACCTTCTTCCATTCGAACAGAACGGTTGAAGAAAATATAGATATCAGTATTTTTTTCGCTACAGTGTATCACTGCGCGCCTTCACACTTTCCGTCTGTGGTGGGAGCAATAAGTAGAAATTTCTGTTACCTCACATGCACCCATTTCGTTTCTCGAGCGGGATAGTAAGTAGCAAATACATATATTACCAATGTCATGCTGCATTTCCCAGGTTCGACTTCTGACAATTCAAGAACGAAGATCCAAACCTGTTGCTGCGCTTGCATGATTTACAACACGAGCATGATGTGCAAATAGTATCACATATCCCAGAGTTTCACAATGAGGAGGTATGATTCAATGATGGCATTAAAATTGCAGAGTACCACTGTAAACTACTAATACTACATCATATGAATGCTATATAACAAACATGAGAAATGAATTATTCTGAATCGAAAAGGGCATCATCTAGTTGTGCCCTTTGTCTTGCGAGAGCGTTTACTGACATTCTGGCCTTCGTGCCATCGCTGAGCTCTGCACGGCGACTTGTTCCGAAGACTTTCCTGAGAAACAGAGATTAATGAAGGACAACTGTCGAGGGTGTAAGAAATGCACCTCGTCCACCATGCCAGGAGTCGCTTGACATTTTGCTGCGCTGTTCGACCAGGGGGCCTTTCGAAGAAGTCTACGATGTTCTGCCAAAATGGTATGTAGTCGAAGTCGCCGTCAATCGAGCGCCATGAGTTCACAGAGGACAGAGCGAATCGCAACTTGTGTCATATTATCACTCTGCAAATAAATTAGAAGTTATTACTACTTACCTGACATGATACATAAGCGATCGAACGGGGTGTGACTGTATGCATCTTGATGATTTGCGCCACGTGTGTCTTGACTTTCTTTCCAAAATGTGAATCCTTATTAGTGCGTCGGTTGGCCTGGATCACATTGTCAGTGTCACCATCACCGGCGACCTCCCGTGTGGAAGAGGGTGATGTGAATATGGCTTTGAAGGCCTGCAAAAATGAGAACTTTGTTGAGCTACTCCGGGATGACTGACCTGAAGCAAAAGAGTGCTTTTGAATAGGCCCTTCTCCAGATCATTTTGATCTGCCGTGTATTGTTCATACAGGAATGCTGGCCAGGACATTTCTGTCACAACATAACCGTCTGCGCGATCCCTAATTCCTGTTCTGACGCTGGCAGATAGTTAGTGTTGCGTAAAATTTAAGTGGGATACTCACATTGGGTTGTTCCAATCCAGCTCAGTCGGGCAAAGAAGTCTGCCACACGAGTCGTTGATGAATCCACGGCAGTATTTGTCGTTGGGATTGACCGGGGGGTTGGGCTTAAATTCGCGATTGACCCAATCGGCGACCAGGCTCTTGAGCTTTGAGGTGTCATCCCCTCGACCACTATCGGCCCACTGCCTAAGCTAAACAACGACTCAGCAGAAGGTAAATGGTTTGTGCGGGTAAAGAATACCTTTTTAAGCATGTGCGAGTACTCATCGTACTCCAAGTCTGAAGCCCTGGAGTGAAGCCACGGGAGAGTGTGGGTGAGGGAGATGAAACCGGTTTGCAAACGTTCCTGACTATGATGACGAACCAGTAATCAGCGATCGCGAGGCACAAGCAAAAGAAATACTCACTCGAGAGTTACATTTTCGTCCTCGCTGTCCAAATCGCACCTCCTATCGTTTTCGCCTATTAAGTCTTCAATGTTGTCAAATAACGTGACGATGCGTCTGATAGCCCTTCCTTTCGACATGTAGTAGTTGATCTCCCTAAAATTCATAGTGAACGAACTGAAATAGGTGTCAATAGCATTCATACCTTTGTTTGACTGCATGCCCCGACTCCAGCACCTGTAGCTTTTCCTCTAAGGCAGCAATTTTCCGCCTCTGACGAGCAGCCTCGGACGTCGCCACTGCCAGTGACGATTCCGGAGGTTGGCCCGGGGATGCGTCCTCTACCGCAGCCTGAGACATGAACTTCCACCGAAGAGAAGTGAAGAATTGAGTCTATCTAAGTGGGTAAGAGATGAGGGACAGGACTCGCCAGGTTGATCCTGCTCATGCTTTATATGATTGTCGTCCAGTAATGATCAGAAAAGGCAGCTGCCTAAAACGCCTGGCTCATAATCCTTAAGTCAGTAGCAAATTTTATAAGCTGGAAATGGACATGTCAGGGTGAATAAAGCGCGTTGACGTTAAAACTGGACGCTGAAAATGGCATAAGCGTATCACGGGAGGCAGGGACAACATGCTGAAATCAAATTGCTACTTTTCGCGACCGCCAGTTTGGTATGGTGCAAGGAACGTGCAATTTTTCTAGTGTTCGCTTCCGATGCTAGGCTGGCCCGAGCATGGCTTCTAAATGCGGAACACAAGCAGACAGAATTGTAGCTGTTGATCAGACACGCCGAGGGGTATGATAGAAATTGAAAGCCTACTAGTGAGAATGAACGGCACGTCCACCAGTTCACTGATGACAACTCGGGAAACTGGTGTGGCGTGTGTTGAGATTTGAGAAGGGGGAAGTCCTTCAAAAAAAAAGAAAGGACCGCTGCAGCTAGTACTAGGCATGGCGGAAGGTTCTGCCCAAGTATCGGAGGCCGTACCCTGTATGACATGGGTCTAGTGTTGGCAAACAGAATCATGATGGATCCTGTGGGACACTGAGAAATTTATCAAGACTATGTCGACGACAAAAGAAAAGCGAGAAAAAGGCACACTGCTCACAAGATTATAGGGCACCATATCATCCCCCCGCATGAGAAAATCGTCGTCTAGCGGTTGGGAGTATCTATTTGTAACAGTCCGGCGAGAAAGTCAGTCACACGCTCAAAACAAACTTCACGCTTACCGTCGCCAAAGTCAAGCAGATCGTCCGAGGGTCAGTCTCATGCTCCTCTCCATTCTTATCCAAGGACCGGTCAAGTCGAAATGCAATAACTTGCTCCACGCCGGAGATGGTAGGTTTGAAGAGATGACTGAGGGAAATATTGACACCGATGATCATGTGGGGGTGGATGCGAGTCTAAAGAGTATTTTCAGCCTCTACATGCTTGTCATACGACGTAGATTGCAAGGAGTCAATAGATAGGGTACACAATTAATACTACAAATGAGAGCGCAGTGTCCCGCGCCACGATCTGATAGCACTGGTGAATTGATTGAGGGAGAAATGTTCCCAGAGTCTCTCAGCGCCTGCTACGCGAGATTAGTACGATGGTTGCAATATAGCAGAAAATTAATTACCTCAGTTATCGTCAAAAAGTTCTTCGTCCGAACTGGTGGTGCTACCATCCGAGTCCAGGACAGTCACTACTTGCAATGATCAATTAGCAGTGGTATTGTTTTTAAGCAGACAAACGTACGTACACGCGATATTTTCAAAATGATCAAACTCTGTGTCGGCAGCAGTGAACGACATCTCATCAAGCTCGTACGCGGCAATAGTACAATTTCTGTGATCGTTGAGCTCGTCAGTTGTATGACTAGCAAGCGACTCGCAAGCGGCTTCAAATGGTTCCGAAACAGCATTGACGTATGTTTCAGCTTCACTCTTAGCAGTTACATCAAGAAACATGGAATGTTTCTGGACCGCGTCGACGTGCAAAGCAGCTGCTATAGCATGCACGCGCCTCCATTCAATGTCAGCTTGGATCGCGATCACGGCATGGGCGAGGGCCACGGGGGTCAGGTTCTTCAATCTACGTTGCAATCGAGTGCTTTCCTGGACCAACATTTATAAGCAATACAACATATATAGATAGACATACCCTTTGATCACTCGGCAAATCCTTGGGGCGAGTGCACCCCGAACACTCCTCACCACAGAGGCGCTCTATTACGTTGGGAACACTTCTTTGGTAGGGCTTGGGTCTTTTCTTTGCGCTCTTCGCATAATTAGACAGGTGGTGAAGTATCGCGGGAGGTGTAATAGGTCCGATGATATCATCATCGGATGAATCGTAGGGCGTGTCAGATGAAGGCGGTGAAGTTGGAGGTTTGATGGGTATAGTTCGCGAGACATGACGGCTCGGAGTCCTAGAGAGACTCGGAGTCGGAAAACTATCCGAATCCTGCTTCAGAACAGGACCGATAGTACGTGGACTGCGTCCTTTCCTGCTTTGATAAACAGGACTAGACTCCCTAATAGGACAAGTAATACAGGCCATGCACAAATTCTAGCCGTAGTAATTTCAGCAAGTGACAGCAGTAGGGAGGTGACTGAGTTTCAAAACAGCTATAACTTCTTATATCGACATTCTCATATATAGTACTTACTTATACTCAGTGAACGTTTGGATGTTTGAACATTGACACCCAAAAAGGGAGAAATTTGATGTGGCTGCGAACACATCACAAATCACTGAGTTCGAATGACTCGACCGGCCCCATGTAATTCAGATATATAATAAGATATAGTTTGAGGTTCTGAGTCGGGAAGCTGGTACTTTCGACTTACTTTTACGGGAGTTCCGAGTCTGCAGCTCCAGACTGAACAACTTGGGCCATCATCCAAGTCATCATGTCGAAAGCAAAGGACAACCTGTGGCAGATTCACTAGCAAGTTGAGGCAATTCATGTGGCCGGCCTGCAAGAAAGCTCCGAGTCCCACGACTGCTCTACCCTGACCTGGCAGCCTAATTGGGACGTCAGGTCTTCAAACACATGACGTAATTCGAAAGGAAGTTGTCGTGCCACGCTTTCTTCAGCGACCCGATCATTCTCGTTACTCCTATGGCTGACAAAGGGCTAGAATTCTTGCAGGGTGTGTCCCGTTAGCTTGCAGGCATGGAAATGCGGCCATGAAGCTATAAACGAGGTTACTTCCGAAACACTGCGTATATGGACGTTCGCACCAACATGGCACAGCTTCTCAAACATCAAGACGTACTTGCAGCGCTTTTAGACAGGATATCCGAAAATCAGAGGTCGGCCGCCAGCTTAATGCAGAATGATGAACAGCCTGAGAAGGACAGTGAAAGGAAGGTGAGTGTTTTCAGTGTCTGTATTACTGTTCGCAACACTTACATAATTCTTAGAAAGAAGTTGATCGAGTAGACGAGGTTATCCGAGCACAAGCTACTTGCAACACTCACAAGCGGAAGCTTGATGATGTCAATATCGACTCCAACAACGATCCCAACAAGGAGAATATCGCTCCGTGTCGTGTGCCCAAGCAGCTGTCTCTGCCCGGTGCCCCCATCAAACGTATCCGTCGTGAGAAAACGGGCACTGAGTGGCAATTGGTCTTCGATATCCTCAAGTATGATGAGGAGATATATGGGAAGCGGGATGAAGGCCTTTAACTTGAAGAGCTAGTAACAACGTCTTACTGTGACTCCTCATCGGATATCATGATTTTGACTTGATGGTCTGATGGCGAATCGTGAATGGTCTGCTCTTCGAAGTTTCAGCGTTCCGACGACTCGAGGCCCTTGTATCGTCATTCTAGAATAGAAGTCGAGCTCGAAGACTGGGTAGAGATACACGTACGTTCAGCATCGGGTTCTGTACTCGTTCAAAACAGTATTGTCTTGGGGTGCCTTGGGCAACATTGAATGTTGGTATCCTCAGGTGAGTCGCGCTTCCGTCGCTTTGAACAGGGATACTTCTGACTTCTAACTTCTCGTCACAGTAGCATCATGCGGCCCTTGCTCAAACCGCTCTTCCGACAGTATCTGATTCATTGACAACCGATCCACACTATCACTGTCGTTGAATCTACTCCTCCACGAAGCGCTCCTGTGAAACAGCTCTAGCCTCTTATTTACAGAGCTGAAACTCTCAAGACCAATGAAACGCCAGTAACGGCAACATCGCATTCATGACACAAATGAGTCTGCGGGTAACTGATTGTTCTTTTTTCGTCCTTCGCTCGCTTACCAGTGCTTACTATGTGAATACACTCCTACAGGCTGCATTTGGTACTATCGGTTCATCAAACGTTCAATGTTCAAACTTTGAGTTTATTCGTCGGACATACTTTGTACGTTACTCGCAAGTGGTGGCTTGATTAGGGATAACTCAGGATTTTGCCAGGCGTTCATAAATGCAGTACGTTAACATAATATGATACTCGTCGACTGTATATGGCAACTTTCGCTGTTGTACCGAAGCTAGGAGCGCTGGCCGCGGTCCATCAACAATTTGAATCCCTTTCGTTCTGCCCGACACTGGTACGAAAAGCCGTCAGGAACTACTACCAGTATGTACTATATGGAACGACTTTTAGCACTCGACAATGCCAACGTCCGGAATGACAACGACCTGGACAACGGTAAAGACTCGGACTCGGATGACTCGGACAACGTTTCCTACCTGGTCTATCGCCCCCTGCGACACATCACATAACGATGACCCGAAAATCATATTCTCTCGGTGCTGGTACTGTAAGCGAGGTAAGGTACGTATCTTCAAAGTTTGAGGGTCAGAGTATTTCGGAACAGTAACAGGTCGACCATCATGATGACTCTCGTCACAAAACGTTTGTTCTAGTAAGAATACCCCTTTTGCAAATCGTGATCGCTGACTACCGCAATTGTGTTTAACTAGTCACAATGTGTATTTCTAGAAACGTGCTACGGTATGCTTCGAGTCGATTGATGAACCACTCCGAGCCTTACATTTCGATCTGAACCAGGATCTGAGCCGGTGGTAAGTACTAAGGCCTCGCTAAGGGCTCAATTCAATAAACCCTGACCTTACTTACTAATTACTAGTAACGGGAATTAATCCCAACTCTGTCAAACATCCCGTTGTATTCTTTCGACCAATCAAAATATTGAGGGGGCGGCCTCGAGGTAAGCACAACTTTGAACGACTAAGGATCTAGTAAACCATCTATCCACGATAAGATCATAATGGATCTTATTAGATGCCAGTGGCATGACTCGGATATCAGAGTCAACGCCCGCGAGTTTGCTACAGTAATTTTGTTATCGCTTCCCTCGTTCAGAAGAGAGCATTCCGCGATTGACTTTCATCTGCCCAAGCCCGCCGCTGCCTCTAACTTTTATTTGAGCCTGTTTCAGTCCGAAAGGTAAGCACAACAGCTTCAAACCGTGCTATGCATCTGATCACGGACTGATGGTGCCGCACAGTCGATACTTGTAACCAAATGCCTCATTGGCCAAGCTACTCAGGCCAATGGGATTCACAAAGTCACGGAGAAGGTGACCCATCAAGCTACCTACCGCCGCATCAGCCGGCCCTGCAGACTATGGAATCAACGAGCCACAGCTTCGGTCAGCCCTTGGGCAATGATTCCGGAATGCCCCACGCGCCAAGTGCCCATAACTATCATGATTATACCTACTTGCAGGAGCCCACACGTGGGAGCCAGGTCCAGCCCGGTATCATAGCGCCCGATGGTTCTCACTTGCAAGATCCCGCGGGCAGCTACGTGAGCCTACAATCTCAGTTACAGCTTTCTACAGGTAGCACGTTCAATCAGCAGCCTCTCGCGGCCAAGCAGTCCGAGTATCATGTTTCTTCCAACGTTGTCGATAACGTTCACCATGGACCAGCTCCTACTGGCACACTCCTTTATCCGACTTCTTGCGACTCGAGCACGAGTCAAGTGGCTTTTTCCCACTACGGCTATCACAATCCTTCTGCAACTGGTGGCCAGCATCAGCCTGAAGTTTCTGATCTCCGGCCAGCGGATGATACATCTGCCTGCGCTGACCATCAGCCCCCTTACTCGCAGAACCCCGTAGGTGGCGGCTACAACAGTCTAGTCCAGTCGGAGCCGCTGTAGGGATTCATTTCTGGTTGGGCTTGTAGAGACTGTTTTTACCTTACCTTATGTTGGCACTTTTGTAGCTTACATAATCAAGCAATCTTTTCACCAGTTACCAGTATGAGTCTGAGAGATCAGCAAGTTTTTATGATATTTCCTCTCCTCTGAGCCTTGAGCCTGGTCCAGAAACCCTTTAGGGTCGAATAGCAGCTAGGTTCTGCAAGACCCAACACATTGTTCAGACTCACCATCTGAATTGTTGTACCTTCACCGCTGTCCTCTACAGCTAACACCTTTCAGCAAGCTTGCAGCCAGTATCTGCAGGACGGCTTGTCCAACTTGAACGCAACCCAGTGCGCCCCGCAGAGACCAGCTTTTCCCCAAACCTCCTCTCATCCGATCTCTTATGAACCGAGCACGAGTCAAGCGACTTCTCCCTACGGCTATCATCATTTACCTCCTGCAGGCAGTAGCCAGCATCACCCTGAAGCTTTTGATACCGGGCCATCACTCAATGCCTACTCTAACTCTCACCCTCCTTACTCGCAGAATCTTGTGGGTGGTAGCTACAACACACTAGTCCAATTGGAACCGGCGTCTTCTACATCTAGCGTATTTCAGCAAGCTTACAGCCAGTATCCCCAGAGCGCCCCGCAGGGACCAGTGTTTCCCCCAACCTCCCTTTATCCGAACCCTTCCAATCCGAGCACAAGTCAAGTGGCTTCTGCCTATGACTATCGTGATTTGCACCCTGCAGCTGGTAACTCTAACCATCAGCCTTCTTACTTGCCGCAAGATCCCGCAGGTGGCAGCTACAACCATCTAGCACAGTCTGAGCCACTGCCTTCCACCCTTAGCACATCTCAGCAATCCGTGGGCGAGGTTCTTCATGACGGCTCCTCCAACATAGCCCAAAACGCTTCCAATGTGTCAACTCTTTTCCCGACTGCCCTTGATCCGAGTACGAGTCAAGCTCAATCAAGTTGGTCGGCTTTGAGCGCCCCCAGCTCAACCGACCAAGAGCAACCCGGATCTCAAGGTTATAGTGCAAGGATGGACAGGAGCAGACAGGCCCACCGGAAGCTCGAACGCGTCAAACGGGTAATTTCTACCACCTCTCAGCCATACCTTTCCTCAGCACAAAGGCAGGCTATTCAAACGACCACACCTTTGCCAATCAAATCCTTATTAGTCGATAAGGTGAAGGCGGAGGCTTCAAGACTCATGCACGTGTCTCTACTTCGGGAAACCCTGTATCCGACCAAAGACAGAATCGATGAGTTAGCCGATGCGGCGCTCGACGATGCGATTACTAGCCATAGGAATGACGACAACGGTATTCATTTTCCTCATTTTTTATTACATAACTCATGGAGGACATAGCCACGGCCCTCTCGCAATGGAAGTTAAGAACGGAAGGCCAAGGCACTCTTATCCGGCTCAAAGGGATCATCAAACAGGTTCATAAGGACTCCCAGGGCAAGAGTTGTGCTCGGGGGTTGGTGGCTGGAGCTTATGATCTACCCGTTAAGATTTTGTTTAAGAACACGAACAATATTGCACAATCACGCAAAACGGAAGCGTCAGTATTGCTGTTGGATTATGATTTTCTTGATACCATCGTTCAGGTACGCATATAGTATCCCAATGTTACTCTGCTCATATTTAATCTACTTCAGCGAGAACATGGTGGGCAACTCCAGTCATTTCGTGTCCCATTCGGGAACCGTACTGTCACCATCATGACAGAGTACATACTGATCGATCAGGGGTATCGTCAATATATACCCCTCAAGACACTCGATGACTGGAAACCTGGGCTTCGAAATATCTTCGCCCTTTCCGCAGCAGCCTGTGAATTGGAAATACGGCAATGCGCGGAGACCGGCTGGTTCAAACCTGTAGATCTGTACGCTCAGGGAAGCATGATCTATCAGAGAATGACGGACCGGATGGACTCATTGGAAGGAACTGACCTAGAAGAATTTCGCGGACTGTTAAACTTCATGCATCGTTTACTGTTAACAGCCCCAGTGCGCCGTAATAGTTAGGAGTCAGAGTCCCACATTTACGTTCTACAAATCCTCCTGCGAGTCCGCACTCCGTAGCAAATGTCGGAGCAGATTTGACGCCTCGGTAGTTACAAATACATGTTGACCTTATGATCTAAGGCATACTGAAGGTACTAAGGCTGGTTAACATAAACTCGTCGGCCTGATCACACTGCATGATGGAAAACGCAACTAGAATCTTAATTAGGCGGACTCAGTGGTGTAAAAATTCTTAACACGATGAGCTTGATCATCCGGCTTCATCTCAGGCTAGCTCGTGAGTCGCCCACTCGCCGGACACGATCTATTCATATATCAGTACTTCAAACTGGTAGGGGCCCTGTGCTCCCTTTTGTCGAGAGTAGGACGCTCAGGTGACTCCAAGGATAGATTTGGATTAGATGTCATGCGCAGATGCAGATCATCGATCATTCAATATTGATGCATGATGGGTTCAAGTCACGGTTGAGTCTGCTGGCCATGCCCCCTTGGGCGAATCACTGACTAAGCACTCTGAGCCGACTGCAGCATTTTTGTAACCTGCATAAAATTATATACCAGTATCCCAATGGCAAAGGCTTCCAGGCTCATGGCATTCACATTCCTCATCAGGTGCTGTATCGCCTGGTCATGGTCACGTCAATCTCTGGATCACTCTGCTAAGCATGATACTCAAAGTTTTTCATCTCAGATGCACGGTAGCTTTTGTGTCTCTTGTAGGCTGTTTGGAAAGATCGCATGAGAGAGCGCAAGCATCTTGAAGGTGAGTGTAATTTAGCAATCAGATTATCCCAGGGATCTTTAACGACGAGATAGATTATGCTCTCGCATTCTCCATGCACTTCGATTCATATACTGTCTCTTCTGCTCTGCGAACTTGGCATTGGCAGGTCTATACAATTTACCAAACCCGCCGTGCCTTCGCTGTTCAATGCAACCTTGCTCGTGTGCAGTATGATGCGCTACTCAAGTGGCGCATCCAGCTGAGGGCGAAGATGAAGCTGCTGAGACAAGCTCGATTCGTGGAGAACCTCATTCTTCAGCGAAGGATTTTGAAAGCTTGGAAGGTCAAGTTTGAGGAACGCCAAAGGCAGAAGAAACTTGAACACCTCGAGATTCGTCGACTTCGCACTTTCATGACAGGTAAAGTTGACACATCTATGATCTGATTTAGTTGGTTTCTAATATCTTTATTTCACCTAAAGCATGGCACCAGAAACATCAAAGAATACGATTCCGCCGGCTGGCAGCGCAGCAAATAGATGACCTCGTTTCTCTGGCAAGTCGGACGATTTTTCAAGCTTTGAAATTCAGTTTAATTGTATTATAGCAAATAAAGCGGGATGCTTTAAGACTCTGGACCAACCGTGTCATTGAAATCAAGTTGCGGGAACTGGAAGTCAGCCAGAAGAACACTCACACACTAACAGTGTACGCGACCTTCTGCATCTCTATGAAAACGCATCTGACCTTTTCCTCAGCTTCGCCTTCAAGAAGTGGAAGAACATATGTTTGCGCCACGTTGAAGACCTGAGCCTCATGGAGAGTCATCTTGATATCAAACGGGCTGGTCAGTACTTATTCCGAGGTCATCTAGCTGGTCGTTTAACTCTTGCACTGTAGAGAGCGTTCGCTGAATGTTTCATTGCTGGCTGATGGCGGCCCGTGCTCGACGTCACAAACGCGTTACTTTGCGTGAAAAGGAACTCGAATTTGACCGGGCAAATGTGCAGGTTGCTTGGAATAGGTGGAGAGAACGGTACATGGATGAAAAACTTCGACCCCTTGTGAGTTCTGTGGCATCCTCAACAAATCATACCTCCGTAACTCCGAAAACAATAGCTACGCCAGATAGCCATTCAGAATCAAAAGAATCTTATCTTCCGTATGTTTGGTATTTGGCATTCGAAGACTCGGGCATGTTTTCTTTCTTTCTAACAATAACACATATGTCAACACCCGTTCAGTCTCTCCCATCCATCCGCTTCCAAGCCTCACGAACCAAGATGAGGTATTGGGCTATCTGGAGAGCTTCTATGCCGCAGGCACTTCTGGCTAAAAGAGCGCGAGAGACTCATAACGATGCCGTCCTGAGTGAGATTTTTTTTATGTGACGATCATATGCAGTGAATGACCTTCATAATCCAGATCGAGTATTCGAAAAGTGGCACCAAGCCTACAAAACGAAAACTCACTTGAAGGAAATAGCGTGAGTTCTTTCCTCCACATGACTGCGCAGTTTTGTTCAATGCCTTCAAATAGCCATGCTCGCTATCTTCGTTTGCCGTCCGTTAGTCCCGGGCGAGCCAACCCGACGCCCAAGCCCCCGGCACGCACGAGTCGCAGCCCATTTCCTCGTCAAAATACCTGTATAGAGAGCGAAACGGAAGGCTCGGAAGTGGGTCCGAGCCGCCCTACTCGGTCTTCTGTTTTGGTTAGCAGACCTAGCATTGAAACCAAACTCGTCCCGAACCTATTGGCCGCCAGAGTGCTAAGCCCTCAAGTCGGGGACTCCGTGATCCCAGTCCGACGAGATCGAACAAAACTTCCATACCACCATCCCAGGCACCATCCTCACCTGTACGACCCAGGTTCACGGTGAGACGGGCCATCAACCCTGCAATGTCCAGAAGCTTTCGTGTTAGGGAAGTTAGTCCCACTAGGTCAAATTACACTTCCACACCTAGGGAAGAGCCCGAGCGCAGTCGACTCTGGCATGAGTTCAAACACACTGGCATCGGTGATCACGATCTTTTGCATTCAATAGGGGATAGCAATCTTATGATTTGCAGGTGCATTCGATGGATATCTGCGTAAAGATGATTGCTTCCAAGACGCCGCAAGGCATGCACAAAGTCGTTGCGAGGTATCCCACATGAGCGAGGATGAACACATACAAGGTTTTTCGGTCTCGTGTGCACGATTTGAGACCCTCCTGATATTTTTAGTCGCTATCAGGCTCACCCTTTGTGAACTTGCTACAGCTCGCCACCATACGCCACCTCTCGAATGTTCTCCATTTAGCAACAATGTCGGATCACACATTCCACACCATGCAGTAGGTGAACGCTCATTGATACATAGCGCACTTTCTTGGAGCGCTCAATCTTGGTCTAGCTACTCTGGGTACCTGCGAGAAATCCGTGAGGCTGGGTCATTTCTTGGCTGTTCTGCTAATAGTTGGGATCAGCCCAACTGTGCTTCGCGTTTCGTCGATGGATGGAAATTGGTGCGTTCCAGCATAGATGGTAGCTGTTGATCTCACGTTTCACCCCTTAGATACCGCAAAGGATGTCTATAGAACCATAACGATGGAGAAACTTGCTCTGATTCGATTTTTTCTCGAACAGCAAAGGGGATTCACAGCTGCACACCAGAATTGGGAGCGATCATCTACAGTTAATGAAATTCCCCAACAAGCACGACTGGCCAGCTGATTCCTTCTCACAGGACCTGCGCAATCTTATCAGCGTGTTGAAGTCGACTAGCGATAATATACGCGACGTCGCAGATGTGACATCTACTTGCTCTCAAAGTGGCCGTGGTTCAAAAAGGTGCAATTGCACGAAAGTTCATGGCGTCTTGACTCTCACCTGGAGGTGAATGTGTCACCTGTCTCGAGTGTCAGGCATCTGCAACGGAATGACTGTCTGGACCCACGGATCATTCGGCGACTTATTCTCTCTTACCACTTTATGTTTCTGTATACTCTTTGCGTTAATTCAGAATGCACAATGGTTTCCATACATCCCTAAGGCCTTGAAGGATGCTGCAGGAAACCTCCCTCAGGGGTGTGAACTTTCGTGGATGGTTCGTTGATGTGGTTATACTAAGATGACAGGAAGTGAACGGCCTAGACGCTCTGACGGCATCATGATGGTGCCGGGATACTCCGGCTGGCTGCGCCTGGATGCCAGTACTAGTACTAGTCACTTCATGCTCAGGTTCAAGCCAGCGTAGTCACATGCGGCTCTCAGATACTCTCTGGCTACTACTTCTTTTTTTTACAATGGTTTCATGTGGTGCTCAGGGTTGCTCTTGGGAGAGCCTGAGGGTGACAGACAACCGGGGACTGAATAGGCATCGCACAAGTTGCCGCTTTTTCAAGAAATCCAGCATTCTTGCAACTGAGAGAAGACTACAGCGAGCGAGAAATGCAACCTCGGCAAATATAGCTCTGAATCTGTCCGAACCATCATTGCAAGTGAGTAATCTTTCTCTTCGAACGAACGGAGCCCTCCCAGTTCAACGACTGATTCTTAACTCATGTCAACAGAAAATCTTACCGGCGAGGACTGGGCTTGTAAGGGCCCATCTAAGACCAGTTGCCCCTTGCAAACCCATAACAAAGCTTGGATCTGTTGAAACTCGCGTGTTACCTGGTGCCCCAGGACCCGTGGCCTCGCAGCACTCCAACTCGGACTCAGAAAATGAACGAAACGATGTTCTAATGGACTTGGAGGGCCCCGCTTTCAGAAATACATTCGAACTTGAACATAATATCTTGGGTCCGTATTTTGTAGTATATGCATCTACTAATCATGATGTTTGCTGATCACTTGACTATTCAGAGGAACCCGCGCTTCCCAGGAGACGGATTCCGAGGCCTTTTCAAGTCGATGATATTGAGCATTTGGCCGAAGATTTCAACGACGTCATCCTTGATGAAGTCGGTGTCCCGTCACCTTCAATCCGATCCAGAATTCAACGTATCGTTTTAACACTAAGAGACACACTCCAAACTGCCTTCAACTCGTTTGGAATCTGCCGCATATACCCTCGCCGTCCTTCCTTCGAGCCCAATAATTCTATTGCGTCCTCATTACTCGCTAAGTCGTGTCCGACAATCGTTCAAGGACCTGATTCCCAGGTCTTTCCGCCACCTTACCCGTTTTCAAATATGTCTGTCTATCGTCTTATGACCTGGATGAGTTCAGGTAGCCACCGGAAATCGGAGACTGAGGTCCAACGCCTCATCAAAGATGTTGTACAGGCAGATGACTTCGACGTCAAACATTTTGAGGAGTTCTCGGTGAGGAGAAACTTACGAAAATTGGATAGGCATGAGGGGGAAAATTTTACTTTCCCAGATGACTGGATTGAGGCTGACGTCACTATCGACATCCCTACGAAGTCAAGAGAGGAAGGACCTCAAAAATATACTGTTCCCGGGTTTCATTATCGTTCTCTCGTTGAAGTAATCCGCGCTGCTTTTTCAGATATCCAGGCAGGCGCATTCCACCTCATGCCTTTCAAACGGCTTTGGAAGGATCCATTGGACGACCGTCAAGAACGAGTATATGATGAACTCTATGCCTCTGATGCTTGGCTGCAAGCTCAGGACGATTTGCAGAAACTGCCGAAGGAGCCTGGTTGTTCGTTAGAGCGCGTCATAGCAGGTCTCATGTTCTTTTCGGATGCGACTCATCTTGCGAACTTCGGAACTGCGAAGGCTTGGCCTCTGTATCTGTATTTCGGAAATCTGACGAAGTACGTACGATCATCGCCCCGATCTGGAGCATGCCACCTAGTGGGATTCTTACCTTTCGTGAGTCGTCTTGATTGCCAGGTTCTTGTGCAGTTATTGACGTCAACCTGTTATCTTCCAGACGGTGTCAAAGATACGTTGAGCAAATTGTCTCGTATATCAAAGACTGGCATGGCCGCGCTTCATACCCATTGTCGCCGGGAATTGTTTCATGCGTGCTGGGATATCTTGCTCGATGAAGAATTCCTTCACGCATATCGCCACGGTATCGTTCTGAAATGTTCTGATGGAGTACTGCGGAGAATTTTCCCCAGAATCTTCACATATTCGGCTGACTATCCCGAGAAGTGCATTCCTTTGCCTTACTTAAAATCGTTGACCATTCATGATTTTCCAGGGTTTTAATTGCGACAATAAAAGACATGGGCTTGTGTGCATGTCCTCGCTGTCTGACACCGAAAAGCTTGTTCGGTTCACTCGGCTTACTGCAAGACATGAAAAGTCGAATGACAAATCTCCGAGTGTACGCTATGTCGAAAGTTCTCCAGGCGCGTGAGTTTATCTATAAGGGCGGAAATACTGTAGATGGTTTAAAGGTTGAGCACACTCTCGGAGAGGGTTCCTGGATACCAACTATGGCAAGTGCAAGCAGTCCCGCGTAATATTCAATCAGCTGAAATCACCTACTCGTAGAATCAATTTGTCAACAAGCTTGGATCGTTCGGCTTAGACCCATTCCGCATGCTTGTCGTTGACTTCATGCATGAATGCGAATTGGGTACCTGGAAGGCTCTCTTCACACATCTTATCCGGCTACTTTATGCGCTTCCGGGAGGTAATCAGTTGGTTGCAACTCTCGATAGCAGGTATGTAGGGTTCGTATAGAGTACTTATATATACTAACACATCGACTGTCGATTTCACAATAGATTTCGCCAGGTCCCCACATTTGGGAATGGTGTAATCCGAAAATTCGCGAACAATACCTCCGAGATGAAACGGTTAGCCGCGCGTGATTTTGAAGACATCTTACAGGTTTGTTCATTTGGTTTTTATTCAGCTCGCTGACATGTTCTCCATCATCAGTGTTCTATTGCGGTCTTTGAAGGGCTATTCCCCGCCGAGCACGATGCAGTCGTGCAGTCTCTGTTGTACCGATTTGCACAATGGCATGCACTTGCCAAGCTCAGGATTCAGTCAGAGTCCACCTTGACTTTTCTCGACGAAACATTCAAGAGACTTTCCCAGAAATTGCGCAGTTTTCAGCGCGACACGTGTGCCGCCTTCAATACTATAGAGTTACCGAGAGAGAAAGCGGCTCGGCAACGCAGGATTGCTCAGCACTCCGAACTCAACACCACCTCTGCAGAATCAAGCCAACCCAGGGTAAAGAAATTCAATCTCAGCACCTACAAGTTCCACGCGATGGGCGATTATGTGAGAACTATTAGATTCTTCGGCACCACTGATTCGTTCACAACTCAGATGGTAAGTACCTGACGCATTTTACTGTTAGTGTGAATTCAAATCTGGGCAGGGGGAGCTTGCATATAGAGCTATCAAGGCCTTCTATCCGCTGACCAGCAAATTAGATACCCCAACACAGCTAGCTAAGCACGAGCGCAGGCGCCGTGTCCTTCAACGTGTGGCAGAAGCAGGAGGCATATTCTCTGCTGATAGTCAATCGTCCATTGATGCCTCCTCCTCAATATCCTCTGATCAGCATCACCATATCGCCAACAATCGGAGCAACCCGGTCGATATATTTGCATTCCTTCGAGAACACCATGATGATCCGGCTGTCAAGGTAGAAGTAACATCGAAATATGTGCACACCTTACACGTTTCTCATGATTTTCATTAGAACTTTGTACCCAAACTCAAGGATCACATCCTTTTCCGGCTGTGGAAACTAGATATTAGCTATTGTGATCACACGTTCACAAATGAAGAACGCAACACGGTCATCATTCCAAACCACACAATCTACTCACTCCAGACGATGCAGGTACATTATACCACGTATGACCTCAGGCACGAATACGATACTGTCAACCCTAGAACGCATGCTGATGTCATGGTGCTGTCGGGGGAGACAACGCCCAGTCACCCATACTGGTATGCCCGCGTACTGGGTATATACCACAGTAGAAACATGGCTCACCGATGTAAGTCAACCTGTCAAGCAACACCTCAACGTTCTCTGGGTCAGGTGGTTAGCACCACCGCAGAACCATGAATCCGGCTTGAACCGAGCTCGTCTTCCCAAAGTTGCATTTGTGGAGGAATCGGACTCGGACACATTCGGATTTCTCGATCCGTCACAGGTGATTCGAGGAGCTCACCTGATTCCCGCCTTTGCATCGGAACGTGGAACAAGCGCGCTTCGCTACGGGAAATCATTAGCGCGTCCTGAGGGAGAGCTGGATGATTGGGAGGAACATTACGTGGGGATGTGAGCATGTATATTACTTCCTCCTGTGATTTGAATTAACCTGGACATTTGGGTCAGATTTGTTGATCGCGATATGTTTATGCGATATACCCACTTTGGTATTGGAACATCCAGTAATGATTCGCAGGATAACTAGAGATTGCCTTAGCTCAGAGCCACCAGCTGGCACCATGGATATAGACGATGAGGGGATTAGTGATGGTGAAGGTCTCGAAGAATTTGATGATGAACAGGAGGAGAGTGATCATGCATTTAGCGACGAGGAGTTGGGGGATGGAAATGAAGGAAGTGATGATGATGAGTTTGACAACCTTTC